TTTTTATGCTATTCTACGTATAAAGGAAAAAACTATTTTGTTTTGTAAAAGAAATAAAACCAAAACATACATTTCTTCGGTTTTACTTTTACACTATTGAATTCCCTGAATAAAAAGTAAATCAAAAACCCTAATTTTGATTAATTTGAATATTGACATTTTAAACTTTCATGGTATATACTTTTTTAGATTTTTTTTATAACTTTAATTATTGATTAATGTTTGAATGTGAAAATATCGATGTTATGGAAGAGAAAAACAATGTAAAACTGCGCGAAAAGTTGGTGTTCATGCCCCCCCACCTGGATATAGTTGATAAGAGTCGCCATTTTGTTATTGGTATACAAGTTTCCGGTCCGCAAGTATATAGTGATTTTATTTAAATCTATGCTCACTATAGATTATTATAAACTTTATAATCGAAGCATTAATATAAATTTAAACGTAAAAAATGTAAATATTTATATTATATAAAGAATTAATCTTAATTTTTTTCTTATTTCTAGATTCAAGTAAAGAGAATATATATCATCCAGTTTACGGGGCGCATCTTGATCGTGACGTCATCACGTTGAAGCCGAAATAATTTTTAAAATTAATTTTAATAGATTTTTGTGTACAAAGTATTTTAAAATCTTTGAAATGTTATTAGATTTAATTTTTGCTTTGAAATATTAAAATATATTTACGAAAAATGAAACCCGAGTGAATAAACTACTGCGCAACAACAAGAGAGTTACGTCCCTTTGTGCCATTTGTAAGATTACACACTACCGAATTATAAAGTTTCTCATTTGTTCGCTGCTTCTTCGTCGAGCTGGAAGGATGTGTCTTCTGCTGCGCTAGGAAAGACCAGCGCTGAAAAACGACCTTTTTTTTTTTTTTACATCTCTCTCTTCCACTGCAGTTGTTGTACGAACAAGTGGCTGTCGGTTGAATTTTTAAGACATCCGCGATCACTTGTTGTATGAAGGCAAACGCGTGGAACTTTCATCTCCGGTTTTAAAAGACATCAAAAAATTCTAATGGAAAAGACAAGAGAGGAGAAAGAACCAACAAACATGTATCCTACCGATGAGGTCTTATATAACCTTGCTACTTTTCTCCATTTTGTAACCATTGTTTCTTTTGTCTGATTATTAGAAATCCATTTTCTTGTCTTAAATCAATGTTCTGTTTAGATTTTTGCTATGTTAAAAACACTAAATTTGATTTCTTGTTTCCTTTTCTCCATACCTTTTCTCCATACTTCTCTAGGCTTAAAAAGCTTAGTAATGATAAAAAATGTCGTTTGACCTTCATTTGTCATTGAAGATGAATGTACTTATATTCAGAGATTTATATAATTAACTAGATCATTTGTATATGTATCATACTGTAAAGAAGTATAATGATGTGTTAGTTGTGAAATAAGACTGTTAATTTTCAATTTGTGACGTTTTCTACCATTTATTTGAAATTTCTACAATTAGTTGTAGAAAATTCGAGAATGTAGAACATTTACTATTGTTACACTGCCATTACATGAGATAATTGCTAGATATTGCTAAATGCTATCTAATGTTACAGTCTTAAAGAATCTTAATTGTTTCGATGTTTTTTTTAAACATACTGTTTGCGTGTTTTGTCATTCTGTATTATTTCTACTGATAAGATTAATTATCAAGTTTCTAGTGTTCGAAATATGATGGTAGGTTTCATTTCGATGTCAACTTAACAAAGGGCTTCTAAGAAAAAGTCACTTCCATTAAATTCATCGTAAATCATATATATACATATATATATATATATATGTATAAAGTTTTGTTAATTTTTTTTAATTTCAAAATAATAGTTTAATAATAGATTTAAAAAAATGGATCGTAAAGAAATAGCTCAACCAAAAGAGCTGTATTAACGTAACGAGAATGACATGATTTTAGACAGCGCCCAAAACCAAAAATGGTTATCGTTTTATTGAGCAAATTGTGTCAGAAATCTACTGACTAATAATGTCATCCTCTCACATGAAATGGAGCAGTTATAAATCCATATAAAAGTGTATCATGTTGAAAATGTAGACTTCTAATTATATATATTATATATATATATATATATATATATATATATATATATATATATATATATGCAAGGATATTATTTTACATTCTTATTTTTTTTAAATATAATGGCTGACTAAGTTAATCTGAACTTGTTTGAAGAAACTTTATTTTTACATTCCTTTTTCATTAGTCAACCATTTTGTTTCTAGTTTCCCCATTTTAAACATTTACGGGTAATGGAGTATTTTATGTAAATTAACTTTGTAAAAATATAAATTTTGCTGTTTTTACATTTTGCTTGTGATAGACAACCATTTTTTATACAACGGCATTTACTTATTTTTGATTTTTTAAGTGGTCTAAAAAGTTTAGACTCTAAAAATGTATTTAGTTCTCAAAATGACGAGAGTAATTATTTGGGAAAATATTGCCTATGAAATAACATTGATGTTTTTTTAATATAAAACGTACTTTATACGTTTATCACGATAATGGATTATTTATTGATAATTTTAAAAATGGTCAATCTATTCATAAAATGATTGTCACTGGGGTGTTTATTGTTTGAAAAAAAAATCTGACGATAAAATAAAACTTTTGTATAAAAACACTTATTTTTAATATATATTTTTCAAGATAGTGAATTATTTATTAACTAATTTTTAACAATGTTGGTGCATCAGATGTATAAAAAAAACAAAAAAAAAGCAATCTTTTTGGGTGCGGGTGTAGTTTATATATTTTGTGTTTATTTTTTTGTGTAAAATCATTTTATACATAAACGATTTTGAGCAATCTTGTGTATTTTTATATATTATATTGTGTTTGCACATGTACATGTAACCAATGTTTAAACATTCAATCAGGAAATTGCATTAACTTTATAAGTGATTTTTATCACGTAACTTTTTGTCTTAATTTTTTTCATTTATCATACATAACTTATATAAATATATTTTTCTATGTATTTTAAAATGTTTTGTGAAAATGTATCTCTTCCAGTTGTTGCTTTTTACAATCTTTAATAAAAAGTATGAAAAGGAAAAACGGCTTTGTTTCATTGTAACCCATGGATTCCGTTGATTCCATTGGTGATTTAGATTTGTCTCGTTAAAAATTTGATTTTAATGATGTATACATTTTATTCTGACAACTGTTCTGAAGATTTGTCAACAAAGGTAATTTCACTATCAACATTGTTATTTTTCGTAAAATTTACATTTTTTTTATATTTTTCGAATTTTTATACTAAAATCTGTTCTTTATAAACTGCTTTGTGGGTGAAATTGGCGATATTGTACTCGTACAAGTAAATGTCAGTTGGTAAATATTAGATACGTAAAAATAGGTCAAAAATACATTTTATACACTATAAAAAACATTTCATTAACTTTAATCGTTTTGAATGTATTTTTAATGACAATTATATTCACAATGATAAAAAACGTATATGACATTTGAAAAACATGCATATGTCTTAAAACATCTGTAGATGTAGTACATCTATAAGTAATAGAAAAACAATGTGTACAAAAATTAATCTGATGTTTTTAGATAATTTTTTTCACAAAAACATTAAATACTTGATTCTTGGTCTTAAATTGATGCGTTTTCTTTCAAAGACAAGCTTCAAAAGTTAGGAATGACTCATTGGGAAAGTACTATGATTTCTTTGTATTTGTCAAGTAAATTGAATGATTTTATTGCATGTTTTAAGCATGTCATTACATTTTAAGGAAGAAAACATTAAAGTCTCTTAAATAAGACTTTATTTATGATCTAAAGTACAAAATCGCTATTTTCTTGAAATTAAAAATGTATTTTCCTTTTACACTTTATCACTGTTCTGAATTTGGCTCAACTTGTTTGATACCAGCTGTTAAAGTTTATCCCATTACTTATTTCAATCTCATATTATGTATATAAATTTATTTAACTGTACAACTTCCTGTCTAATCATTATTCATTGATACATCACTCCCTTTCATTATATTTGGATTATCACAAGCAATAACTGGCTTTTCTTATTGGTACCATGTTAAAGTATCATCACAATGGATATGGATACACGCCATTTAACAAAATGATTCCTGGACAAAGAATTTAATTGATGATGACAGATTCTTTCAAAATCCTCAATATATGACCAATATGGAACCGAATCTATACTTGTGCTTCATGGGAAAAAGATGGCTTCAACATAAACAGTGATGCGGATATAACTATTATGAAAAAGACACTTCCCTCTACATGTGGATAGGCTACATTTATTTGTGGCTGATATACATTGATAAAAGTATTTCAAGTTGTTGTAAACCTTTGAGTGTAGTAGTAGTTATTGTCAGTTGGCAAATAAAGAAGCCCAACAGTTTTCTGTCTCTCACTTCAACACTCACTTGGCTTGATTACCCATCTTCAATCCCACAGTTCCCGCTTGTCGGACTGTTGCCTTGAAAGAGAACAAACAAGACGATGGCGTCAGCCATATTTAGTTTTAACTTGTGCAAGCAGTTGCAATTAGATAAGCGAAAGAAATATCCGTTTTGACATAACCCCAATTTTAAAGAGAAAAATCTTAATTCTCAATCATCAAGTACTTTCTCAACTGAACAAATCAAGGTATTTATACCTTCACATATTTATTTTTTCAATTTTCTCTTTTCGATTTTTCTAGATTTTTTGGTCCCTTCACTATAACGTTTTATTATCCCTCCATTTTCAATGTCTTGTCGCCATTTTTCTTTCTTTTTTCAACTCCCCCTTCTATGTTTGTTCGGTTGTAGTGGAAGGAAATAATCTGGGTCTAAGACTGAGCGCGTGTGTGTATAATGTTATTTAGAGAGGGGGGAAGTAATGAAAAATATTCTCCCCTTCGCTCCATAACGCGCATAGGAGAGAGCTAGCATTTTACTCTATATGTTATTGAGGGAGGGGGAAGCACATAATCTCACCCTCTCAATGTCTATACTCGAAGGAGGAGGAGACTTCCCCTCTCTTAACGTTCATTGGAAATTGACTGAGTTGTATCACTGACGCCATTCGTGTTAGGGGCTTTCTCATCGAAGATTACACTTCTGCCCCTACACTAATAACATCCCATTGGAAAAAGGGGACCAAATTTGTTGTAAAAAGGTAATATTGCTGTATCTAATATTGAATATTTATTTCCAATTTGCGTATCCATTGTTTCTCGAAACCTATCGTTTCACTTGAAGCCGAAGTGGTCGCCATTTTTGATGTGTGCTTGGGTAGTGCTAAACTACAACCAGGTTTGTTGTGGACTTGACCATTTTAACTCCGACATTACCACGTGTGACACCTGCTCCCATGGATTAATAATTGGGATTCTATCCCCTTTTTTTTACTTTACCTTTCGTATTGGACTTCGATCTCATCAGTTAATTTAATTTTAACATTTTTTAAAGCATTATTGAGTCAGCGGTACTTAGCCTCCATGTTTGTTGGTCATATGCTATTCAACGTATTTCTTAGATTTACCCATGCCTTACCATTAATCGTACTTAAGTGATTTTAATTTTCAGTTTTCATTTTTTAATATTTAAAAATATTTAGAATTGTAAATTCCTTTTATCAGTTAATTTATATTTTGCTTTTATCAGATTTTACTACAAGGATCCAAGCAGTACTTTTTATACTTATTAATAGTAAATATCACCACAAAGAGGGTACAGGTTATTTAATTCAAATAATTTACATGTAATTGAATGTGTTTCAACGAAATTTTTGTGTTTTTCGAAAGTGTATATATATGACTTTCAAATGACCTTGAAGTTTTTTAATTCCACGTGGGACCCATTTTAGCTTTTTTTTCTTGGGATTTTTGTTTAGTTTTCAGAGCTTCCTTGTTATTATAGTTTATTTTGCGTTGAAATTTTTCTCCGATAATGATATTTTAAATTGACAGATTTTTATGCACTTAATCATCTCAATAATATATTTATACAGCTTAATGAATCTACAGTTTTATTTAAAATATAAAACGGATTGTTTTTATTTACTATCAAATTACCGGGAAATAGTTTTACAAAATAGTAACAGGTGTCATTCTAGGTAGCTTGTCAAGTCGTGTTTTGCTTAAGTTAATGAAACAAACTCGTTTAAATAATTTGAATTTTCTATTCCTGTCAATCTTAAAATATTTAATATTTTTTATCATTTACTACTTTTTAGGAACTTTCTGGGGGTCAAGACTTTTACCACTTTAAATCATTCGAATGAATGTATCTTAATCTAATCAATCATTTGTTTATTTTTGTCAATGATTCGAGAATAAATTTTAAATCTAAGTTTGAAATATTTTTTTAAAAATTGTGTTAATTTTAAATGGAATTAGAATTTAGAAATCTCGTGAAATGGTTTTTTATTAAAATGTTTTTTATAGACTTTAAATTTCAATAGTTTAAAATTAAGCTTAAATGTTAAGAATATTATTTAGCAACCTTTGCAATATAAATAAACTTGTAACTGAGAAAATAACATTTTAAAAATAAATTGCTTAATAAGAAAACTAAGTGTTAATGTATATCTTTATAATAAAAATTGTAGATTTAATTTAATGTACTAAACAATAACGACAGATTTTCGCTTTAATTTCATTAACGTACTTCCATAGATAATGGAGCAAAAAGTATTCAGGAAGGTCGTATTTATGGGGGTTTATCTTTATTTCAGCTTAATCAGTACATTGAAATCGGCATTGAATGATATGACAGAAAAATAAATCAGTTACAGTCATTTCATTAGTGACATTTCATTTGCATACTCTCAGATTTGGTTCTAATTAGGTAAGTATATGAGGGGAAAAAAAATCAAGCTTAGGAAACAACAAAAAATTTGGATCGCAAATTCGCAAGTTTAACCAGTGAAAAACGACCAAGAGTTCTACAAGTGATTCTGAAGTTACCAAAAGGATACCGGCTGTAATGACTCAAGACACGGAACTTTGAGATCAATGATATATCAAATTAAAACAATGTAAAGATTATATTGAGCTAAAAAAAAAAAAAAAAAAAAAAATGAAAATTTTGGCATAAATATATTGAACTTGATCAGTCATATAAATGCCGAGGAAATAGTCCTGTAGCAGTAAATATGCTAACGTAAAATTGATAAATTTGTTCTATATGGCTTTGTGTCAAAATTGGCATTCCATTATCAAAATAAAAGGCAAAAAGTGGGCTAAACTAAATTGAATTGCCTCTGAATGCTGAATATAAAAATCAAGTAATTTTTTCATTTGACAAAGTCAGTATGCTAATCTTAATATACAATGTTATAAAAAAAATCTGTTTATTTGCTATGTTAAAGCAGTAGTATGCATAAGACTGCTGATAATTTTACAAAACTGGAAAGTTTCAGAAGCATATCACTTATTCGTGGACGCTTCAATTAATCAAATGCTGTTCATTTGAGGGTCTTAATATTAATTAGTCTGTTCTACGCTTGCGCATTTAGTGTAAGATATTTAACCCGATTTACTTTCTAGAGCTAATGTAAGATAATTTCTGGTAATAGTAGTACTATTACCAGAAACTAGTACTCTTAAACAAAAAACAAAAATCATCTGATTTCACTGCGTAAAAGATGATTAGTAATTTAGTGAAAATAATCGGCCAAAATTTAGGAGCTAGAGAATTCAATATACTTGAGACTGGTATCCTCAAGTAAGATGAGAAATTTATAGCATACTATCAGTAGTAGCAGTAATCTATCTTTTCGGTGAAAAATGGGCTTCGTGTTAACGGAAGTTCTGCGTTTTGTGATAAATTACATCCATGGGGAGGTAACTACTTTTGAGTTGCTTCCCTTGATGTCATTACGTAGGTGAATCAAATTTACTAGGTCTTAATTTATAAATATAACACGCTGATGTTAGGAATATTAACTTCAGAAATATCAATGTTACGAAGTAGTGTAAAGAAGCAGATGAGTGTAAATTTAATGAGTATTTAACTGCAAATTTTGGTAGATTTTGAAACGATCGGGTTTTCATGTAAAATAAATTTTCTTCAAATGTAGAGTTAATTGACAATACACGCACAAAACTCATTTTTCTTGATCTTGTGTGCAAATTAATATTTCTCAAGATTTATACCCATGGGAAATATCTTAAAAATGAGTGATATTTTTATCAGATGTCAATGGTAGCCAGCTGTCAGTTCCTGTATAATTAGTTTTATACAGGATAAGATTTAATTTCACAAAAGGTTGGTTTTTAATAGTGTGCTAAATTGATGCTTTAATAACTTTCATTGCATATGTGCAAAATGTTTCATCTACATTATCTTTCAAGTAATCAGCTGTTTCTAAATTGTTTTTAGTGGGATTTCTTACAGCATGTCATGAAAGAAGAAAAAACTGACATGTTTGCTATTTCTATATCTCCATTCAACCCATAGCTGCTTTTTACTTTGCATAATACAGTGTAACCCGGATATAAGAGAGATTTCCTCTGGTCCCAAATTAGAGCCTGTGTTAATGTATATAAAATAGACCAAACCCGGATATAAGAGACTTCTTCTCCAGTCCCGACAACTCTCTTATATCCGGGTTACACTGTACAACATATGGCAGAAAATACACATGGTTATTGCTTATACACTAAAAGATATAATACTGAACAGGTTTTAATTTTGGCAAAACACATCTGTTTTTCAAAGTTGGTATACATGAGAAAATGTTGACATGGCTTATTTAAATACTTTCATTTTTACAGAAAATCTAGATTTAATAAATTTGACTCTTACAAAAAATAACTTTCTTGCACAAAATGTTCTCTACCTTTTTTGTAAGTTAGTTTCTGTCGGAAATAATGAATTATTTTCACTCGGACTTGTCATCTTAGTTATCAATGATTTGGTTGTTGTAAGATTGCTATGATCAGCAAGCACCTGATGGAACCTGGAGGGTATAATGGCTAAAACTTAATAGTAATGATAAAGCTGAGGACAATAGTCTGGGTGTAAATAAATATTATTTTGTAGAAAAATAAATTAAAGTTTGATGTTTTATCAATAGCAACAACTTCAGTTATGTTTTAAAGAGTAAAACTATAACTTTTAGCATTATATGTGTCCTATGATAAAACTGATCACTTTTTTTTCTAGCAAGCAATACCAAATTAATGTGTTAGCTTTATTTTTATTCTCAACCATAAGAATTAATGAAAATAATTTTTTTTTACATTTGTTGTTTCATCTTTTAATTTCTTTCAATTGTTGCTAATCATTTGCATCAAATGTTGAGAACAATTTTATTTGGGTTGATCCAAGAGGCCCTTCATGATGTCAACAAAATTTTAGGTGCTATGTAAATTTCTTGACCCTCTGATAAATCAGTCTATTAAGAAAGAAAAAAAATTCCAACCTGTATATGATTCTGAATGTAAGAGGCACATGATCCATTTCTTCAATTAACTATCAAACTCTACAAAGTGTATCAGATATGTTTGTGTGGAGTTTGTATGTAAAACACCAGGAATATCCAAGAAGGCTACAATTAGGTTCTATCATGTATAATAGGCATATGTTTTTGTTTTTTAGGATAAAACAACTGCCTCTTACAGTACTACAGGCAGGAAAAGTAATTAGACATACTTTTTTTTATACTTTATGGTATCATAAAACTATTATCATTCAACCTGGCAACTTTTTTTTTTTTTTTAAAGTTTTAATTATTTTTTTTCGCTGTTTTTTTTATTTTTTTTTTATAAGCATATGAATATCAGTGAGCCTGGCTTAATAACTACATCAGCACTTCCAAGCACAGATTATGAAAACGATGCTGGTTATCAGCAGTACATTCCTCCTTCACGCAACAACATTAAACTAAACATGGGTCGAAATAAATCAGATGAGGAAGAAAGCAGTGCTTCAGAGTCTGGTTCTGGTAACTCCAGGTAATTCTTCATTTTTATACTTAACATTGTCTATGGCTTTTTTTTTCTAGTAAATATTGATTGCTTAATTATAGGAGTAGTCTTATTTTGATACCAATACTTAAAACACAAAATGAAACAAGAAAAAAATGTGAGCTTTTCTAATAATATTTTATATATTTCATTTTGTATTTTTAAACAAGGGAATGCTTTGTACAAAGAACATCTGCAATATTTTTGTACTTGTGTTCCACTTGCAAAATTGAAAAATTAACAAGTTTTAATTACAAGAAATGAACATGTCTGCATGTTTTTTTACTTTATTCCATTGTACAGCCATTAATGACTTACAACCACCTATGACCAGCTATAAAGTCTCAAAATTAAGAAAAAATATCCAAACAGTATTGTACATTGTAGGAAAACTGAGAAATTTTTCTTTCTTCAAAATGAATCAAAATAAAATGAATAAAGTGAAAATTAAATAAAAACTTTACTTGTGCTATATTTACAATATGAAGACCAAAATAATATAGAGTTGACATTCAAATTTGTTTATTATATTTACTGTTTGGTACATTACTGTATAAATATTTAGAAATATAGTAGAAACTACAAAAGTGACATTAAAGCTATCTGAAGCTGATTGACACAAACCAATTACACTTATAGTATGCTGGAACTAGTAACCAGATACAACTTCTCACTTAGCAATCATCCCATTGGAATGTAACATGGTCATTAACTGACGAGTGCCTATATTTATTTTGGATCCTGAATTAAAATTTAGATAGGTTTTTTAATATGTAACCTACTTTTGTTTCATTAATCATTCACACTTCATTACAAAATCCATGGTGAGATTAGTTGTATAATCTTTATAGTAAATAGTGATGTATCAACTTTACTCAGAAAAAATGAGTAGAATCATTATTTTGCATTGCTTTAAAGAATTCAACATGGGGCTGATGTTTGATTATATAAAATAAAAACTGAGGAACACCAGAGTGCACCCACCCATCAAAATATAGTAAAAACAACAAAGCTGAGAATATTGGTTCATATAATTCATGGAATAATTTAAACTAAATTTTTTGGGTAATTTTCAAAACATTTCAATTTTTTGTTTTTAAGGTAAATATTTGTTTTTGATGTTTTATTTTTTATGAACTTTAAAAAACTTAATTACTGTTAAATGTTTTGAATTATATAACATTTACGTATATAAAAAAAGACAACATATATATTAAAATAGGTACCTCCATGAGATCGCTAAAAAAGAGCATAGCATGAAGAAAAAGACGTCAAACTTGACGGAAACAAAATTTTATTGTCTAAATGTTTGTTGTTATTAAGAGGAAAGATCAAAGTATTTTGGGGGTATTTTTTTACATTTTTTAATTGTTCCTAGCATGTCCGAAATTTTCATTAAAAATTTTTTTTTTTTTTTTTTTTTTTTTGAGTCGGCAAAATTGACCATTTTTTTCCTTTTTATAAAAAAATAACCTGAAAATCTCCCTTTGAAATTCTTTTAAATATCAATTATCATGTTTTTAAAACTTATTTTAAGAAAATTAGAAATTATAATGTTTATTTAAAATATTTTGAACCAAGCTTAACTTAGCTTCTGCACCAAAAAGATGTAATTTGAAAATAAAACAAAGCAGGTCATAAATTTTCGCATCACTTGACAGGTGATGAATGACATATTGACGGATTCTGTGAGGATAATTTGTTCTGCGGAAGGAGAAAAGTGAAATTATTTACATTTAAGTGAACAAATTATTTACCTTGTTATTTTTAACGAAAACTTTCTGTGCTCTAATTTTTTTTTGTTTTTTGTACTTAGCTTTCACCTTTATGTTTACGATGCTTTATGGAAAATATATTATAAAGAAATTAAAATAAGTCTGTTAAGAGTGAGATTAAATTTCATATTTCATAAGAAAGGTATCTAATTAATTTATAGGTACCTTTCTTATGAAATTTTATCAGAAGTGTACATAAAATACTATAATTTTATGTACATGTACTACATTTTACTGTGTTATTTGTATTTCCATTCATTTTATTATTAATTTTGATATTTCATTTATGGAAAAATGAGATTAATATGAAAATAAGATAATATTATAACTGAGATTAATATAAAAATAAGATCATATAAATTTCATAAGATGATACTGATACTTGTAGGTACCCTTCTCAGTTGAAATTGAAAAATCAAATTAACTTCTCCACACGTGTTTCACAAAAGTAAAGGCCTTAACAGTGGAGAACAATGCTTAACTCAAATGATGCAGCTTAATTGTAATCTGGTTGGTCTTCCTTACTTTATAATTACAGCCCGATTATAAACACAAAATTACATTTCTTAATTACTGCAGGTCTTCTGATTAGTTGAAATGATACAATTTACAATGCGCTAAAAAAAGATCTATTTCATAAGGACACTTAAGAAACCCGATGCGGCTTTTAACTAATTTTATAATATTTTAACAACTTAAATGTAAAAATCTATTATAATTAAAAAATAACAAATAATTGTATTAAAAATTCATTTTTCATCAAAAAAATTTTTTGCTTTCAGAAAATATTGTGCATATTCATAAAAACAAATAAAAGCAAATAAAAGCATTTGAAATTAAATAACATCTTTGTTTTATTGAGTTTTGTATGTTACAATTCAGAGCTGATTTTCAGGTGGTGGGGGTCCAATTAAAAAAAAAGATTTGCATTCCTCAAAGCCCTGTGCTTTTAACTATTGTAATCACTAAACATGACACGATTGAATTTCTAGCGTTTTCAGAAAATTAGTTATGGGCGGGGGTAATAAATATAAAAAAAATATTTCTGCCATGACTTTAATAAAAAAAAAACGTATAATAATTTCGATCATCTGTGAATAGTTTCTGAAATTTTCATCAACATCCGACAATTATTTTTATTTTTGCAAGATTTTCCAAATTAATGTGTGCCACACAAAAAAAAAAAAAAAATGTGCTAAAAATTGTATATGTTATTTTACTAGTACCGGTGATACAATGTTTTTTTAATCAAAATTTAGAATGTTCTAAAAAGAAGGAAAAATTTTAAAAAATAATTAAAATAAACCTTGATCTTTCCTCTTAATAATAATTTAGACAATAACATTTTGTTTTTGTCAAATTTGGCATCTTTTTCATCATGCCATGCTCTTTTTTTAGCGATCTCATGGGGGTACCTATTAAAATAATATGTATTCATTATTAGGGGTATTTAAAATAAGTTAAACTATTGTGTTTTCCTTTCAGTGGATCTGGTTCTGACTCAGAGTCCAATTCTAATTCTGGTAGCAGTTCAGATTCTGATTCTAGCTCCAAAAGTTCGAAAAGTCAACAAAAAAGTAATGATGTATCTGCTGAAACAGTCCGGTCTGACTCTGAGAAATCTGTCAAATCAGATGATGAAGAGGAAGAAGAGGAGGAAGAGGAGGAAGATGAAGGTAGCTCAGTGGCAGCTGTAGAACAAACAGAAGAAGCAGCTGATGAGGAGGAGGGTGATGAGGAAGAAGAAAAAGATGAAGCAGCAGCAGCAGCAGAAGAAGAAGAGGAGGAGGAAGAAGATAAAGATGATAAAGATGAATCTGAAGAGAAAGATGATGACGATGACGACGACGATGATGATGATGAGGAGGAAGAAGATAATAGTAATGATCATAGATCAACCTATGAGACAGATTCTCATGATGCTAGCAGTTCCCAACATGAAGAAAAGAAAAAAAAGAAAAATTCAAAAAAAGAAATGAAAGAGGTAAATTTTTATTTATCTTTTTCACTTAGATTTTAATTTAATATACTGTATTTCTTGTATGCTAAGGTGCATTTTTTATTCTGAAAAAATGCCCTCCAAACTTACCCTGCATCTTCGGATTGAAAGCTGAAGTTGTAGAAAGAAGTTTGCCAACCCTCACAAACCCCCCAGTCATGAGATATAAGCAATCACAAACCACAGATATATAAGCCTACAATTATCATTCGTGTGTAATAAAGACACCATGTGGCTTGTGGTGGCAAGTATCAGTTGTTTCTGATGTGAATAGGTATAACATTGTGATAAACTATTGAAAATTTAATTAATAAAAACGACAAATATTTAATAATACGTCCAAAAAGTTAATAATTTTGACAAAGAAAAATGACACTGTAGAGTCAGCAATTTGAACTTGCTAGTATGGTAAGCTATTAATCCTCAAATATTTTTTTTCCAAAAAGTACTTAACTAATTATGGGGTGCATTTTACTTCTTGTAGCATCTTAGCATACTGGAAATATGGTAGCTTTTGCTTTTTTTATTAATACCAATCTTCCATTAATCTCATTAAGAATGCTGTGTGGTTGTTGCTTATTTCATTTTACAGGGTTTTGTTTTTAAATTTTTTCTGGAAATATCTGTTCAGTATTTTACTTTATTTTTTTCATTAGTATTATTATAGTAATTAGTATTTGGATTTAAAATTATAGTTATGTTGTTACAGCTTGATATTTAATTTTCATGCAACAATATACATCACATTATGAATATAATAATATCAAGGGTAAAGTCAAATACAATGTTCCTAAAATGAATAATGCAATATTAAAATTTAACTTTTATATTGATTGTTCCATACTTTGTCCATATTTTGGATGTAAAACTAATTCAGAAGTGTATGAACTTGGACACTAGTTCAGTGCACTGAATTTGAATGATATTGATCATTATTTTGTATTATTTTGACATTTGATGTATTCATGCATATTAAACATCAAGTTGTGAAATGTTAATATTTGTATTTCCATATTTATTTTGAGGGTTGGCTTTTTCAATAAAATTTAATTTGATCCCTTTTAATATTAGTAGGTTTTTAATTGGGTATTAAAATTGCTACAAATTTATTTTGAAAAATCTGTAAAGGATATTTTACTTTATACTATAATTAAAAGAAAATAAGTTACAAAATAAGAAACTTAAATTTTATATAAATTTTCACTTGTACAGGAATATTTTTTTTTTCTATAAAGAAATGAAAGAGGCAGTCATGATTATGAACCTGTCTCTGTTTTTCAACCTTTGTTGAAATGTTCCCATATTAGTTATTTATATATCTCTGTGTATGACAATGTTATGTAGTGTAATAATTGAGACCCTAATAACATCTTATATTATGTTACTTTTGTAACATTTGTAATTGCTCATTTACTCAGTTGTGGGAAAAGACACCTGACCTATATGGCATTCGCAGATCAAGCAGGGCTCGTAAAGAACCCACAAGATACACTCAGACTCAGGTAAGTAGTTGCTAGATTATTCAGTCTCTTGCTGCAATATCTAGTTTAATCTATATTGTAGCTGTATTATATTACTATTAAGAGACCTGAAAGACATATGTCTTCTGTTTAGATTTTTTTAATTGTTTAGTGAAAGTATAGATTTTTTTTTTTTTTTTTATTCTTTAAAATACTTGATCATGTGAAATGGAGATATTTTAAGAATTTATTTTAGAATGAATATGCAAACTATATAAAGAGCCGTAACAAGACACATTTATATCCATTCTTGGAGAATTTTATTTTTCTATGCATTTGGGAGTCCTATCTTTTAGTAAAATAGTATTTTTAAAAATTAAAATTAACTCTTTATCTTAAGGTTATTTCAGTCATTAACTTTTTGGTAATTATATAATTTTTTAAGGGAAAAAATCTTTTTAATGTAACATATATTTCCAGTGCATGGTATTTAAGAATGATTGGCTTCTATTGCATGCTGTGTGTATTTTTTTTTTTTTTTTTTTTTAAGAGTGATTTTCCTTTCTCATAATCATTAAAAAAAAGTAACCACTCCCAAAAACCTGTTGCATTTTCAAAAATCCTATATCATACTCATTATTTCCGTTTTTCAAATTTTTGTTTATTTTTTTCATATTGTATTTTGTATTTCTTGCTATTTTATGAGTTCTTTTAATTTTGAATTGATATCATAAATTTCTTTCCTTTTGCAGAATAGTGATAGTGATGAAGAGAGTAGTGGAGAAAGAAAACCCAAAAAACGAACTCGAAGGAAAGAGTAAGTATATATATATATATATATATATATATATATATATATTTGGTTGGATAGATGTGAGTTTGTGACCCTGGGTTTCACGCTTTTGCGATCGTCAGACAAACTCTAATTTCCCTTTTTATAATAGAAAATTTTCATTAACTAGCAGATGATAAGCAGAGATACTGGTAGCATTTTGATATGCTGAATGACAAAGAAATATATATATATATATATATATATATATATATATATATGAGACACATACACGCACATATACAGTGTCAACTCCTTGATTGTATTCCCCTAAGACTCATGTAGGGGACCTATACCTATGAAAAATGTAAGAAAGGGAGACATTTTAAATATGTAAAAATAGATGAAACATGAAATAAACAATTATTCAAATTAAATATAGACTAAATTTTTATTTCACTCTTTGATTGGATGCCTAGGGCTGTCCCACCCCCGCCTCTGCATGCTACTGTATATATAGCAGTTTGTTGTCATGGTCTGTTAAAAAGTATTTCAGATATATCACCCTCAGTTACTTTTATTATACAAATAATGTGTTATATTAACAGTTGTTAATACATAAAGTGTACATTTTAGATTTTGTCTATTAGGGTTTTTTTCAAGTTTGGCTTGTTGATTTACATGATAACCCTCAACTTGAAAAGGTTAAAAGTTCTGTCTCTTAAAATGTCATTTTTGGAAATAGTTTAAAATTGCATAAATTAGAATTTATCTTTTAAAATAATCTCTTTTGAGATAGCACAACCAGAAAAATTAATACTTTGTGTAAATGAATGAAACCATTATCTATTCTTCAATTTTATTGCAACATTTTTTTATTTTTTTTTTCCTTCCTAGGTCTAAAGAATGGAGAGCTAGTGATGAAGATGATAATAAGGATGAGGATGATGATGATGGTGATAGCAGTTATAGTGATGACTTTAAACCTCCTCCTCGGCGACCACAAACTTCGTATGTTTTCATTTTTTTCTTTTGAAATAATTTAGGTCTTTTTGATAAAAAATCTTCCCTAAATTGAAGTTTGCCTAATGATGAAATGTTTAATTTTTTGAAAACATCTGAATGTTTTGCCAAAAATAAATACTCCTATTTTTTTAAATATATAATTATTTAAAATTTGCTCATTTAATATTTAACAAAAGTGGACAGAAATTAATTTCTTTTCTATAGTTTTTTAATAGTTATTTTCGTTGTTATACTCAATATGGGTTACTTTACACAGCAACATTATAGTCTCAAAATATTTTTATGCTTTTTCTTAATACTCTATCTAATTAAATGTTTCACTTTCAATGTCTAGTATTAAAAAGACCTCTTTCTTGAGTAGTCATAACTAGAGAAAACGTAAACTTTATCCAACTTTTGGTCTCATCAATTGTTCCAGCTGTATGTATATTTTTAGTTGAAGAAAAAATGCTCAGTTTAAATGCTTCTTCTTAATTGTGCTTATAGAAAATTGAGTCGAAGCAGTCGATCAGCAGGTGCTCGTAGAGCAGCTGCTAAGAGATCTCGGAAAAAGAAGAGTTATTCTTCTGATTCTGAAAGTGATGATGAAGCTGAACAGAGACATTTGAGAAGAAACACGAGGAAGAAAGTGAGGTGAGTTGTGTTTCAAAATTTTTTTTGATTGTAAAAATATATTTTTTCTTAATAACTTGTTACATTTTTTTCTTGTTCTTAAATTTCAAATCTTATATGTGTGCTCAGTTTAAGTATTGGCACTATCAAAATACTTTTGTTGAATATATGAATTCATTTATTATTCATTTCATTCAGTTATAAAGAAGAAGATTCTGAAAATCAAACTGACTCTGATGATTTACTGGAAATAACAGCTCCCACCACTGCTGCTGATGAGGAAGATGAGAACCGTGAAACAATAGAGAAGGTGATTATGCATCGACAAGGAAGGAAAGGAGGTAAGTATCTCATTCTCACAACAGTCAAGAACAAAATAGCTGCACTTGCTTAATGTTGTAGATTTATACTATTAGTTGCTATAATGTTTCTTCTTAGTGTACCCATCTACATCACCTAAATTTCTGGTCATATGACGATGACTAAACTTAGTAAAATAACATGTAACTATACTATTTCAGTATATTAAAAAAAAACACCATCAATGGTATATGGTTATAAAGATTTGAAAATAAAAATAACTGAAAACTTGCTATTAACTATAGAAAATAGATGATGAATCATTTTTATATAGACCATTTCTTTATTTTTTCCCTTTGCTTATAGATAACTTAAACTGCATAATTTATTATTTTAAAAGTGTTAACCTTTAACAAGCATATATATCTTAGTTTAATAGCCCTTGTGGTGTATATAATCATTTAATCAAGGAGACAATGTTAAGATGTATTTAGTGTAGTGTTTAATTTCCATATATTGCCATTTATGGTTTTATGATTTTAAATTTTTAGACTATATGCCAGTAAATAAAATGTTTATTTTCAGTTTTTTGAATAATAACAAATATCTATTACTAATGTTATTGTTATAAATATAGGCTGGTTATTATTATGTTAACATATTCAATTATTTTCTGTAAACTATATTATATAAATCCATGTACCCAGCAACATTTTATCTATAGAAAAATTTCTTTTGCCATGACCTAAATGGTTTGATTCTTATATTGTATGATAAACATAAAATTCTATTTAGATCCCATTTAAACACTTTGTCAAAAAAGCTTTGTTCATTATCATTCTTTGGCTATTGTCCTCTGTCTTTTCATTATCAGTACTATTGTTCTTTTAGATATGTTTTCATATTATTTCTGTTCTACCTTCATCAGGTTATATGATTGACTTCATTTAACATTTTTTTCATCATAATTTTGTTATGTTCCATTGTTTTCTAAGCTGTTTTATATTTTATATAATTCATTTGTTAGTTTAAGCTCATTAATTTTTATCATCTAGTGATTATCTTTTTTTTTTTTTTCTTATAAACTACTCTTTTGTGATTTATCAGTTATTTTTTTCTACCTTATCTCATATTAGATTATTTTGTGATTTTTAAAAAATAAATAAAATAAACTTTAATTTAAAAAAAATCTAAAATATTGTCCCTGAAAAATCAATTTCTGTCATAAAAAATTTATTTATTATCTAATATTTTTGATAATATAACAAAAATGCACTCATTTCCTTGATAACTATTATTTTGCTCTTTTTGGGTAGAGCATTTTACATCAATATTCAGTTATGAGGAATTTGTGGTTTTAAATAATTTTTTGCAGAAAATATTCACTAATCTTTTGAATTAAAGAAGCAGTTCAAAATTAAAACATTAATGTATGTTAAAAAGAAGCTTTCTTTTTGAGTAATAATTATAGTAAATAAGATTTATATATTAGATGAGATCTAAGTGTTGTAATTTATTTTTTTAATAATCTGTGAGGGGTACAAAATCTTATTCCTAAAAATATGGACATGTTAAAATATGTGTAACATATGTACAAAGACAAACTTATAAATAAGCAACAAAGAAGGAGGAAAGCGCAAAGAAAATAAAGTCACCATAAAGAGGTGAAGATAAAAAAAAAAAAGATCTAATCAGTTTCTATCTTCATTCTCCAGACCCTCTCAGGGACAAGCATTTATAAAAGTGCAATCTTTTAGAAACACAATAGATATATATATAATATATATATTTTTTATATATATATATATATATATATATATATATATATATATGATTCCATCATAACACAGAAATTTTCTATGATCAAATATAAATATGTATGTTTCATCTCTCTTTTTTTTCCAAAATTAATTACTATTTATGGAAAATATTTGACAGTGCCTACAAAAAATAGCTGTTTCATTTCTTTGATTTTGTAAATTTTTATTTTCCAGAAACTTAGTGTATAATTTTTCATATATGCTCAAAGGACATGGGACATTTAATGACCTAGAAGCTCTTGATCATTAATTAGTAATTAAATTCTAATATATTTATTTCTAAAAATACCATATAGTCTATTAGTTATGGAGGAGGAATGGTACTTTAAATCTGTAGGAATAAAATTTAAATATTAAATATATGACTTAATTAGAGAATCTTTGTGCATAAAAATATGAATTAAGTGGATAAATAAAAATGCCAAAACTTTGTCATTGAAAACCTAGATGACACACTGAATACATACACTCCCACCCCACCTAAACTTAACCTAACTTTGTAAGCAACATATATTTGATACATAAGTTATCTAGGGAAATTAAAACCCAATCACCCCTAATCGAAATATATTGAATTTCCCTTAACCTTAACAACTCAAAATATTAAGATTGTCTGCATTTATAAATGAAGTAATATTTCTTAGAAAGTTATTCCTCGCTTGGAAATGGAATGAAACTCCAGTTTAATTTTTATAATTAAATTTACTACTTTAGTTTCAGTTTTGAAACATAGAAATTTCTTTGTCGCAATGGAATCATATTTTTAAAAAAGAAAATAATTATAATATTATGCTCTACTGTTTGTATTGAGCACTATTTAAAAAAAAAAAAATAAAATAATTGCTAAGAACACTATATTATAAATCTTACTGTTCTTTATTATTTTAATATCTGTGTGTGTGTGTGTGTGTGTGTACATATATATATATATATATATATATATATATATATATATATATATATATATATATATATATAAATATAAAATATTTATTTTAAGCATGTTTGGTTAAATAATTCAGACGTATTATGTCTATTTATTTTAGTTTTAATCCTTTCAAGTCCACATATTAATTTCTTGGTAGCTGTAGAAGAAATTGATTAAGAAAAATTCCAAAATTTTTTATTTTCCCAAGTACTTTCAATCTCATCTTCAGAGGTTGCATAACTATGGATGTAAATTCAAAATAATTTTTTACCTCTATGCAAAGGAGGTAATGTGATTTTCTTAAAAGATTTTTTAAATTGTAGTATTTTTTTATATAAATAAAAATTATTTGAAAGAAAATTTTGGAGTTTTTCTTAATTGATTTTCTACAGCCACCAAGAAATTACAACTAAAATAAATTGACATAATACATCTAAATTTTATTTTTTATATATATATATATATATATATATATATATATATATATATATAATATATGTATTTAGGCATTAAATGTTCTTTAAAGCATATACTATTAAAAATGACATTTTGCGTTGATTAATTTTAATTTTGATGACATCTTCATCCAAACCAAATCCATTAATGACATTATAGAACTTAGAAAAATTTTCTGATTCCTTTTTAAAGTTCATTTTATAAGCAAATACCAATAAAAAATTCCATTTCTAGATATTCACATTGATTATAACTGATAATTTTACCATATCTCTGTATAAAAAGTCTATTAGTTCTAATTCTTGCCTTTGAAAATACAACAGTGAATATTATTCCTTTATACTGTTTAGAATACATATTTAAAGACAACTGGTTTGACTAAATTGATTACAAAGAAAATTGGGCCTATTCTATAATTATTTATGTTTACTATATTTTTAATTTTGTGATTAAATTACTTGAATAAGTAATAATAAACTGCATGCTTTTAAATTTGTTGAAATAGTTGTTTTTGATTATAAAATAGTTTATCTACTAATAAAATCATTGTATTAATACTGCATCATGAAGATTACTTTTAGCATTGTTCATAGTATTGTAATAGTATGATGCTAACTGCTAGCTAAATGTAGCTCTTTATTTATAATGACTTAGCATAGCACATTTTTTAAATGGTTATATAATTAGATAAGTCATGTTGTGTATATACTGTGCAGTTTTTAAAAAGCAAATTATACTTTGCTTTAAACAAATGCTATTTTATCCTCATAAAACTGGATACACTTGTAATAGTGTATCTATAAATTTATTTTTGTATTGGCATCTGTTATGTTAATTTTATTTTTGGATTATTGTTTACAATCAAGTAACAGTTTACATAATGTTAATACAGTTTTAATTAACTGATTTAGTGAATGCTTGAGTAAATTAACAAAACTTTGGATGAGATTTTTTCTTTGTCTATTTGACATGTGTGTGAGGATGGTTTTGGCCATAGGGCAGTTTTTAACAGTTAATTTATAAAATCAGATATTTGAGTTATTAATTTCTACCTCTGAATTTTGTGGCCTTAATATGCGGATCAATTTTTTACATTTATATAAAAACATATCACATGACTAAGAAATCAAATCTGTTTTCATTTTGTTGTACATTACTTTGAATTATCTAACCAATGGCCATTTTTATTAAGATTTTTATATATCAAAAACTTGGACTTTCTTTTTATAATGATAAAATCTAAATATACTTTAATTCATAACTATAACTAAAATGATTTTCTATTACTTTTGTTTGTACTTAATTAAAAAAAGTGTTAAAAATGTCAAGATCTGAGGTTATTTGGAATATGAATAGGTATCCCAAACTAAAATTTTATTTTCAATATATCTAAAAACTTTCAATACAGACAGATTGTTCAATGAGCACTCAAGTTGTGACCATTCAAATTTGGTGAGAATTTTCTGTTGTGTGGGCTAATGGACCATAAGCTAATTTTAACACTATATGAATGCAGCCTTTAAACTAGTGAAAAATCATTATAAATGTAATGTTATATAGGTAGTCTTGAAGTAAAAGAAAGATAATACTAATAGAATCAATAATGATTATATCTGACCAGCCTAAATGTTGGGGAAAATAGTGTTCTCAAAAACGAAATAGTTAAAAAAGGATGCAGAGAGGCACTTCTGACTCCTCATATGTTTCATCTTGGTATAATTCATACAGACATGGTGCTAATTTTCTTTTCAGTAGTATCTCAATAAAACAACTTGTATTTACACCATGTAAAAAGAGCCAGAAGTGTACTTTGACAGTGGGGTAAAAAGTTAGCCGTAAAAAGTATTCATTGGAGATATATGCCTGAAACTTTGAAACTTTACTAATTTTGGTATGAGGAATTCAACAAAAATTTTACCTTCTGTAATATTGTCATAGATGTATATAATTTTGTGACATTATGCAATTTTTAACAAGTGAAAAAAAGGATGGTAATGACTACAAAGCTTAGAAATTTGAATCACTGGTCAATCCTTCAAATAAATGCTTATTGTAAAGCTTCAAACTAAAAAAAATGAAATTAATAAAAAATACATTTATTGGAACTGGTGAAAAATATTTTCTGGACTTTCTGGTCCTTCTGCAGTTCCTCTTCTAATGGTGATTTGTAGTCTGAATTTGCTATAAGCCTTTGCTATAACCAATATTCCTGGAACACTCCATATTCTATCATTTCTTGAAAGTGGTATTATATCAAAGTCCCATCTAAAGACAAATGTTGATGCCACTTGTGCAATATATCATCCAACAAAAGCCATCAAAAATTATCATTTCTGCCTTTGGTTGCAACTAAAATTTTGATTACAGCACTGGATATGTAAACATTGGAGTAATGGTATACTGCAACTCATTGGTTTTGGTGCTTGTAACTGAAGGTCACTTGAAGTGGTTCTTCTTCATCACAAATACTAGAGTGTTTGAATACTCAGATTCACTAAATGCTTTTTCTTCCTTTGTTCTTTAGATATGGAAATGAACTTCCATTAAAAATAATATCACTGTAATGTCTATTTCCTTTGCTTGTTTTTAACTTTATCAGCATACATTGCAAGGAATTTAGGGCTTACTTTGGACTGTTTCTTCCAAAAAATCTACTTCACAAGGTGTGAAGTTCATCCACTGAAGAGAAGATTGAATGTAAATTTTATTAAACATCCAGGTCATACATAAAAATAAAATGAACAGATACCTGCTTAAAAAAGGTGTTATGTTTATTATCTTCTATAATGGCTTAAGGAAAATAAATTACAAAAAGGTAACACATGTTGGCAAAAATTGAAGAACTATTAAATGTAATCTTTTTTTTTAATGTAACAATTTCATTTTAGCCCCCAAAATAGAATTAGTAAACAAATAATAATTTAAAAAAAATGGACCCATGTGCCAAAATTAAGCTAAAACATATATCCAGTTAATTTTTTATTTTATTTTTTATAAAATGATGTATCTAGCTCAGTTTTTAAAAGAAAATGTAAATAAATTTTCAATTTAATCCACAAATCCCAAGAATTAGAGAAAATATTGCTAGCCATGAATGTAAATGAAATTGAATGATCATTAAAAGGAAACCTGAAATTTTTTTAAAAATTTTATTTTAATTTTTAACAGACAAACATGAAAGTGCAAAATTTAAAGAACTAAAAATATACTCAATTTATACACTTATTTTTTTAATATGAATTCTGTTTAATGTTCTTAAAGAAAAATGTATAAAAACAACACCTGGGGCAAAAGTGATTCAAACGTGACATTTTTGACAAAATACAATTAATAAGTACTTTATACAGTTTTAAAAGGCATCATTAAAGAAAATATAAGAAAAAGATTTAAACTGTGTAATATCAGATTATTAAAGACTAGCCAATGCTCTAGAAGACTGTGCAATTTTCTTTTAAGAGTTGAATTTCTCTGGTATTTCATCCACTAAAGTTTTCCAATATTTGTGAAAGACAAGCCTTATCTTAAGCCCACCAAATTATGAGCTGCTTTTTTTCTTTTTTTTTTTTAAAGATGGAAGTATTTTGATATGTGTAGTGAGACACAACTCAGAGTACAAGTTTAAAAAACACCACTATGAAATTATAAGCTTTGAATATGAGGAAAAAGTGCTTGTTGAAATAGTGACATAATTTATAGAGACATGGAATAAAAACTATTCTTCACACACAAGAAATAATCATTTTTCTTCATAAAAATGATTTAAATTTTGTTTAAATACTAATTTTATCAAAATAGCCTAAAAAATGAAATGAGATATTAGCAGTTGAAATTGAAGGAAATTTTACTATTTTGACCTGTTTGGGCAGTGTAAACTAGGGCAGTTAGGATGCCTAATATGAAGCTTGTTGAATTTACATAGCTATTTATTTTATTGTACAATATCTTACATTTTCCTTTTGTAACATAACTGTGATAACATGTTTTTATTTAGTAAACTGGATCTTTCATAAAAGAAATATCAGTAGTTTGAACAATAATTTTGAATTGTGTTAATTGATTTTATCTAAAATATTGTATCAGCAACATTGACTTTACTTGGTGTAACTGACTTGTCAGTTAATATATACAAGGGGATATTGAAAAGTTCTTGGCACAATGAACTTCTCAAAATATGACCAAATGACTGTTTTCTTTTTTTCTTTTTCTTTTTTTGTTAGGAGTCTTCATTGGGCTGAAAACTTTTTCATCACCTCCTTTGTATTTAGCTGTTATGCATCTTAAATTTTTGTTAATGTCTCCCCACTCCATAAACATTAGAAAACATTTTCATATCAAATTATATATTAAATATTTATATATAACTTATTAGCTGATAAATGTTAACTCATAGCTTTTAACACTCTCTTCAATATTTTCTCAATTATCTTTTTGTCATTAAACTCATTATAATGATCTTTTCTGTAAAGCAACTTTCCAGCTTATTGTCTCGTTCCTGATTGATTTAATAATCCAAGCAATGTTGTGCCTTTCTTAAATTCTCTCTCTTTCTTTCTAATTATTGCTACTTTTAAAAAGTATTTTGAATAACTTATATTTATTAAGAAAAAAGAATAAACTTTAAATTTTGTAATTTTTAACAGAATAAATGTAGAAGGACTTTAACAACAGTTAGTGTAGTGTTTATATCAGATTCTTTATGAGAAGAATATGTAACTTTTAAGAAATATCCTTAAAATTATGTTCTTGAATATACTGTGAATATGTTTTTGGGGCTTAAATTTTACTAAAATAAATTTAATAGTTTTAATTACTTTTTATTTTGTAAGATTTTGAGATTTTCCTTAGCCTGCATTTTGAGATTCTGACTTTTATTAAAAAAAATCAGCAAAACAAAATTATTGATTGAATTTTGTTCTCTTTGTTTTAATTAAATAAAAGATGGATTTTAAACTTTTATTGAGAATTCACAAAATATCTTTGCACTTATTTGTGTAAGCTGATTAACTGATAAGATCATCTTGTTTGCTTAGTTTTATTTCAGTATACATCTTGGTATAATAATTTAAAGAATGACTTTAAAGATAGATAATTTTTCAAATAGAACTTGATTAATTCTCTCTCAAATTTATTTCTTGCTTTTATAAAATCTTGTCATATTTCATTTAGTGAATATGGATTGGGTTGATGGAATGACTGGAAATTTTCTTTAATTGCATATCATTCATAATAATATCTGTTAATAGTAAATTTTACAATTCATCTTCAGTAATGTTATATTGTTTTTATCTCTAGTTTTCTCTGAGGATACCAGTTGCCTTTTATATCTTGATCTTTTTTATGCTTAATATTCATATTTTCAAATAATTATCTTAAAAATTGAAACAATTTTCATGATCAACTTGGAGATTAAAAAAAAAGGATTTTATTTTCTCAGACAAGTATTTAAGCAGTTAACTAAGAAAGGTGAGCATGATAACATAAAATTTTTTTTCTGTTTCAAATGAGAGATATAAAATGAAAAATAGTAAATAATGAATGTTGACAACATTGACGCAATATGTATACGTATGGCACCTCTTTATCTACATTATTTCTCTCTGGCTGTCAACAAATCTCTGCAGTATTGCTGCATCTTCCTTCATTCTCTTGGCAGTTGGTTGTGGTGTACCGCTGATTGAGCTGCAGTCTACGACCAATGTAGAGGCCAACCCAGGTAACTCAGTCCTGAAAACCCAGTGGAATAATCAGAGTTTCCGTTAACTTTCCCTGTACTACCACCCCTACCCAGGGTGGGAGATTTTGGATACATATAATGTGTGCATCCACACACACACATACACACACATGCACACATCTGTCATTCATTCTTTACTGTCTGTAGTTTAATTAAAAACAAACAAAAACAAATCACCTGCTTTTGTTAGTTTAAGAAATGGCTTGAAATAAGTTAAAAAATCTATTAAGAAGGCAAGATTAAAAATTTCCATGTCAGAAATCTGTATATTAACTTACTTTGTTAATTTGGGAATAATCTTTTTCTTTGAAATTCAGTAATTTGAAATTTTGTGTAAAGATAGGAGTAAATTTAATTCTGTTATAATTGTGTCATTATAATCTGGTCCCAATCCTTGAAGTCCTTTGCTAAAGGAAGCTCTGTGATTCTTTACTACTGGGAAAAGTTAAAAAAAAAAAAAAAAAAAATCATAATTTGCTGTTTGTGATCTTTTTTATTATTATTATTATTATTATTATTATCGTTATTACATTTTTTTTTTTTTTTAAAATATGATCTTCCAGCCAATTTCTAAAACTTGCTGCTGCTTTATGGTTTTGTATACTTTTTTTTTTTTTTTTAAAAAAAAAAAAAAAAAAAAGTTGAGTGGAAGGCTGTACATTATTTAAATAAGCAACCTTGTACTGAAATTTATTGCATTAGCAATTCCTTCTTGCTCACTTTCTAATCAGATTCACAATTCTCTGCATTCAAGTGTTGATTGCTTGTATGATCTAATAATGCCTACTTTCTTGGGTTGCTGTACTTTTTACCGCCCTTACTTCCCATTATTCCTTTTTTACAGCATTTTATTTGGCTCCATTGCTTGGCTTGCTGGTAATTTGCACTTATCTCTCTTTCATCCTTCCCAATCCAGTGGCTTTTTTTTTTTTTTTTTCAATTTTAATTTCTTTTATATATGCCTACTTAATAGCTTTTTTGTCTGTTTGTCTGTCAATATGTATCTGTGCGCATATATAATGATATAAAAAACAAAAAAAGCATGCTTTCTGAAAAAACGAGTTAGCTATTATCAGGAATTAGATGTCTTTATTTTGCAGTTTTGATATCTAAAAATTATTCTACTGTTGTAAATAGTTCAATAAGATTTTATGTAATTTATCACTTATAAAATTGTTTCTTCTTAGTATCCATTTATGTGTCTTGTAATTTGTGCTGTTTTCTTTTTGTTAAAAGAAGTACTTAACTGTTAATATTCTACAAATTGAGATAATAATAGATATAGATGTTAATGATTTACTTTGCACTTTTTAATTGTTAGATATATTGGGTTTTTGAAATTAACACATTGACTGCCAACCACAAGATAACTCATGGTTGCTAGTTTTTATTATGATGCTGATTATGAGGAGTTATCTTGTGCCACCGTGATACTTTTAGTGTGAAAACAATTTTAAGACTTCATTTGAAGCTTTAAATCAACTTACAAAAAAATGTTTTATTGCCTCACTTGGCATTCGAAGTCCGATTTTGTAATTGACCTCTGGCAAGTCAATGTGCTAGAAATAACAAAAGGATGAAATGAGGAAAGATAATAAATTCTATTTTCAGTTACTTATTTCATTTAATATAATTTGTATATTCCATCAGTTTTATTCTATTGATTTTCCTTTATTGTATTTTACTTTAAGAGGCAAGTCATTTTATTTATTTACACTGATTATTTTTCACTGTTCACTTAATCCAGATAATTTTTATAGACATCAAATTCTTTTTGTATAATATGAAAATAAGCTCTTAAAATATGTCTCGGAATATGAAAGAAGTCTTTGATTTTTTTTTTCATAGTTATTTCTTTATAATATGGTAACTGATAAATATTGCATTGTAACTGGTTCACATATTTTTTATAATCATGTAAATATAAATTCTTCTTGTAAATAAACAATCTAATAAAATAGTGTTTAATCCTTTTGTCAATTCTTGCGAAAAAAGAGAATGCTTATATCCAGTTTCATATGTTTGGGTTTTATTAAAATTTAAAAAATCACTTTTTAAAACAATAAACATTGTCAAGGGAGTATTTGGTAATAGCAGCATCAAGAAAAATAACCATCATTTTGAAACACCATATTTTTGGCAGGTATGTATGTTGAACTTTGCCAAAATCTCTACCACATAGTATTTAATATGATGTTGGCTGTTTAATTTGGAAATTGGTTATAATCTTCTATTTAAAAAAAAAAAAAAAAAAAAAACATATTTCATAATAGTCTGCATACTGAAAACTTTTACATGGTATAACCTATAATTCATTTGTAGTAATGAAGGTCATTTCTTGCATAAGCCTTTAAATTATATTTAAAAAAAAAAAAAGGCTTTTTTTTTTTTTTTTTTTTTTTTTGCAATAAATGATGATAATCTATATAGAAATGCTATTTTGTAGTAGAGATTGTTTAAGCAAAATTATTTTTCATAGATGTAATTTTGTGAATGCTTTATATTAAACAGAAAATGTTAAAGGCTTTGGAAATGGATGCATTTTCAGTTATAACATGAAGCTTAATGATTCTATTAACAACCCACTTCCCCATTTATCTGTGATATTTTTTAGAAATTGTTATTTCATTTTAATTTTTTGTCTTGTTTGGAAATCTCTAAAATTACTTACTATGGTCGGGTAGGTCTTGAATCACTAACTTATATTCTTACAATGTATTTCTTGCTCTGAAATATGAACATATCTTAATCATACATTGATTATTGTATTTTTTTAATTCTTATATAATTTTTCAATTTCTTTTTAATCTATTAGTGATGAAATAAAAATTTTCTGCATGTATTTTTTTCTTATGGGTTAAAGAAAAGACTTAATTTCTTCACTTTCGTTTTTTAAAAAAAAAAGTGGGGAAGGAAAAATGGTAATACATACATTTTATTTTTCATATATTAGAACCTCTGCAAGTAGTTCAGTATTTCAAACTTTATATTAGACATTTCCATTTGTCAAAGAGCTTTGGAAAAGTTTTTGTTCTTTCTCTAAAGAGACATTTATTCTGTATGTGGTAAGGTAACTTCAAAAATTTATCCAGTCACTTCATTGGGTAAACAAAAATAGGAAGATATAATAGTAAAAACCTCTGGAAGTTAAAAATTAATCTCCCCTTACTGCAGTATCACATTAATCATTGCATATTTTTATAACTCTGGGTTCTGAGGACTTTAGTTTTAAAGAATAAAATTTTGCTGATTTTTTTACTTTTGGTATTTAAATTTTCTTTGATATGTAGTCTTTAAGTTTATTTGACATAAAAGACATAAAAATATTTTGTTGTTAAGTAAATTTTCGACTTGAACAAACTTTTTGGTTAACCCAATATTTTAAATAATCTTTTAGAATTTTCATTCTTATTGCTTCCAGTTGCTATTTTATACTGCTTTGATATACAACTTAATAACAATTTTGCATGTTATCAAATCCTTTTTTGTCAAGCTGCTGTGTGTATGTGTGTGTATTAAATGTTTTGTTTATTATATACTCCTCTCTGCTTGGCTAATTTGTAACAGTACTTACCCCTTGTGTATATATTTTGAGCTAAGGAAAGGTTTAAGTAGAAAGAAAACTACTTGTGATTAGGACTGATTATAATAATGTGCTAGACAAGAAAATGTTATTTATTACTGTTTCTTAACAAGTTCACTTTGAACTAAGAAAAACAACTTAATTCTTATCTTTTTTTCTTCAAACCAAATCTTTAATATTAACTTAAACCAAACCAAATCTGGAACCTTCTGTGATAAATGATTCTCTATCAAAAGTTTAACATGCTTTCCACTATACTTGGGTTTTCACTTTAAAATTACTAGGTATCTTAAGATTAAAATATTTTCTTTATTTATTGTATTGTAGAATATTCTTTTTATTCAGTTTAAACTCAGATTTTAAATCACATATTCGACACATCATTTTATTATCATTATTTTATATTTAACCTGGATAGATTTTCCTGTTTCAAAACTTAACTATGGGACTTTAAATTTAATTTCATTTTTGTATATTCTCACAGTTCTTTGTATTTAGAAGTGTTCAGTTTGTGAATTATTTTTGTTCGAAGTTGGTGCAGAGGATCGTGTGACTAATATCTTAAGGAAGAACTGTAATGTTGTTTCAAATGTTTTCAAAGTGAATATTCTCACTTTTTATTTATATTTATTTATTTATTAATTTTTTTTTTTTTTTTGTGAATTAAAAATTGAAGAAAGGATAAAACATTGACTTTTAGTTGATGGTCCATATTCTAAATTGAATTATTTTATGTCTTTGTATTATATTTGAAATAGGATATTACTTCCCTCATTAGTATTTTTGACTCTCTTGTCTCAGTTCCAGGTTGCTTATAACTACCTTTTGATATATTTTACTTACAAATTGTATATTTATTTTGATCTAGTTTTATTTTGGTTTAATTATGACTTATGGAAGTCCTGGTCTTGGCACACACACACATATATATATATATATATATATATATATATATTTATTAAACATTTTACTGAAAAATATCAGTTAATTTTTGCAACAAAATTGGTTTAATTAGTCTCTTAAATGTGCTTGGGTCATGTAATTATTTTTCTCTTATTTAAAAAATTATTTTAATGAAATAAAGATATTTTATCTCATATATTCTGATATCTTGAATGCATCTGCATATAATTTTGAAAGCAAAAAGTTGAGTAAAATCATAAAACAATATTATTTTTATTTCTCAATCATGTACAGCTACCGGTGGTAAAACAACAGTATACAATGTAGAACAGGATGGAGATCCAAATGCTGATCTTAATCCTGAAACAGAAGAGACAGAGATCCAATATTTGATTAAATGGAAAGGCTGGGCTCACATCCACAATACATGGGAAGTGGAAGCATCACTTAAAGAGCAAAAAGTTAATGGTTTAAAGAAACTGGAGAATTACAAGCGGAAAGAGGAGGAAATCCTTGAATGGTGAGTATTTTCTTGCACTAGAGAAAATAAATATTAATTTCTGCAGTCCTGATGACTTAGAAAATATAAATGTGTGATGCAAATATTTGACAGTAATAATAAAATAATTGCAATTAAAGTAAAAACATCTTTGTAACAACAAAATTGATTATGCTAATTTCTACACTAGTCATCTAAATAATTGTCAATCTTTATTGTAAACTAGGTTAAAATTTTTTTTAAAACAAAAAGTCATGGTAATCAAAAATGCACAAAAGTTCAACACTGATAAACAGTTTGGTTACAATATTTACTGAGTGTTTTATCACCAGTCATTGTCAGATGGTACAGTCTTTGTTCCTTCTTCTCTTGTAAAATGACACAGAATTGTCAATACATACCTTTAAATTTATTATTTGATTAGATAATTCAGTGTAATAAATCTGATCATTATTTTGGTTTGAATAATGCTGTTTTAATTAAGAATAATTTATCAAAGCAAAAATATATAGAAAGTGTACACATTTCTGAGTATTCCACAGTAGATTTGCATCTAGGGTCATACAATATATATCCTTTCTTAACAAGACTATTTATTGGTAGTACAATGTCCTATAACAGGGCAAACTCACATGATCAATATTTATTAATGTATGTGATGGCTGAATGCTTATTTGAAGCAGGATCTAATAGAGAATGGGAGACAAAAAACTTTGGGAAAGATAAGTGGATGGCCCTTGATATATTGAGAACAAGAATGAGGGGAAAATATGTATTTAAATTTATAAAATGAGATGAATGAGGGGCCTGAGAGGATTGTGACCCGAGACAGCTTAACCAAAAAGCAGTAAAACTTAGATGTTCACAAAGAGATGAATTCATGACAGGTTTGTGCATTCTCAGAATTTACCCACTTGGGATTGTCTTGAAAAATCTTATCTGCAAAAATTGTTATTTCATTGCTAGTCATTTATATGACTCCATTAATAAAAACATTAGTCTGAAGAAGTCCTTGCGAAGGATGAAACATATTAAATAAGATTTCTTTTCCATTTTGTCATTCAGTTACTTAACTAGATAATTATATAGTCTTCATGTTAGAAATTTGATTTAAACCCATTTCTCTGCACTGTTAATTTAAGAAATGATACATTTCTGTAAAAACATTATCTATATAAAGTGGGATAACTTCTATACAGTAAGTATGAAGACAAACTTGTAATTAACTACAAACAGTAGAATGAAAATGACTATATATTTTATATGGTATCATGTTATATTAAATGCATTGTGTAAGGCTTCATTAATAGATTGTTAAGGATGGCACTTGAAACTTATAAATTAATGAACTATTTTAATTGTGACACTTGCTTATCACTACTGATGTGTTAATTAAAACTTCATTAATTCAGGAAAGAGGCTGCTAGCCCAGAAGACATTGAATATTTTGACTGCCAACAGGAAATGATCATGGAACTTTATCAACAGTATTCAAAAATAGAGAGGATTATTGGTAAGAATGTTACTATTTTATTCATATAACATGAGTTCCATTTTAATTCACTGGTTTTGTTATCTTTTTGGTAAATTGTTACTATTAAATGGGTTTTAGTCTTAACTGCAATTATAAATATTGACACATATGCAAATATTTTAATAATTGGCACATCTGTGATGGCTTATATTTTTCTTTCAGCTCATACAAATCAAAAAACAAACAATGTTGACAATGGCTTTCCAGATTATCTGTGTAAATGGCAGGGACTTTCACATGCTGATTGTACTTGGGAGGATGGTGAGCTTATATCTGATAAGTTTAAGAAATATGTTGATGAATATCATACAAGAAATAAGTCTCAGAAGATCCCCTCAAAACAATCCAAGGTAAATTTTAACATTCTTACTGCATTCAATATATGTTTGACAATTTGATATCTTTAAGTGTAATTACTAAGTTGAATTTGTTTTTATTCCTTTTAAAATTCTCTTGAAAAATGTTTTTTCAAATAATCATTAACTCTTCTCATTTGTGCATCATTCAAGATTGAACAGTATTAAAAAAAGATGTATTTGTCAACCTGTTTAATAATAATGCTGATCTGATGACAGTAATACAGCATTTCTATATAAAAATATTATTCATGGCCTTGCCAAAAGAAAGATTAGTTAAGAAAAAACAGAAGAGTAAGGTATTTTCTTGTTTGAATTGTGTTTGGTGAATATTACCCATTGTGTGTGGATTGGTTTGAAAAACAAAACAATGATGAACAAATTAGTTTGAACTTACCCATATAAAATGAGGCAATAAACATCAGAGGAGGAACAAAAACAAATGGAGAAAAGTAAAACTACATGTGCAGTAAAAACAAATAAAGTTTTTGGTTTGACCAAGAAGAGATTTCAAAACAAATTTCTGGACTAGATTTTGGGAAGTGTGTTAGGCTGAAATTTTTCATCACCCCCTTTTATATATCCTTGTACCATGAAATCTCTTCAAAATCAAAATTACATATTTTTCTTAAATGTATATAAAATATATGGAAAAGGATTTATTTATATAATCATGATTATCTATTGGAATTAGAGGAATAGATTTCTAACTTTCCTTGAAACCTGTTTTCTTTCTCTTAGCTCTTTTGTATCAAAACTCCTCATCAGGAATAAGATGTCTATTATTTTGCTGCTTTGATAATTGGTCTCTGACTGAAATTTATTATTTCAGAAAATTAGTTATCTAAAATGTAAAATATTTTATTTTCTAATTTTTTTGTTTTTTAATCATTTGTATGATTTTCACTAATGTAAATTTTTTTTTTCTTAAGGTTCTGAAATGCCGTCCAAAGTTTCAGCAAGCTAAAAATCAGTCAAAATATATGGGAGGTGTTGCAGGTTTGGTTTTACGAGATTACCAAATGGATGGCATCAATTGGTTGGTACATGCCTGGTGCAAGTGAGTAATATTTTATGACAGTTGTTAAAACTATACATAACAATTATTGGTCCTTGTTTCTATTTCTTTTTATTGATTAGAAGTTAATAAAGCATACAATTTGTTTTTCTTTTCAATGTCCAATTTAGCAGTTATATATACTCTTTTATGTAAACAAAATAATCTTCTGATTTTTTAACAAAAAAGTCAGATAAATGATTAAAACATAATTTTAGCAAGTCTATAAATTATTTTAAATTAGCTACTCAAAAATTTCAGGGAAATATCTGACCAGTGTCCTTCATTTTTTTCTTGGTTAGAAAGTCTGAATAAGCGTTTACAAAATTGGATTATTTAAATTAATAATTTAAATGTTTTGCAAGAAATTTATAAACTTTCTTAAGAACTATGTAACTTGATTGGTTTTATAAAATATTGAAAAGATGTTTAATCTATATTTTTTTTTTTTTTTTTTTTTTTTTTTTAATAATTTTCAACGGTTTTCTCTTTAGGGAGAATTCTTGTATCTTGGCTGATGAAATGGGTCTGGGTAAAACTATCCAGACTATTGGTTTCTTATCAACACTTTTTAATACCTACCAACTATATGGACCCTTCTTATTAGTTGTACCTTTGTCTACAATTGTTGCTTGGCAACGTGAGTTTGTCAATTGGGCTCCAGAAATGAATGTTGTCATCTATCTAGGTGACATCAATAGCAGAAATAAGGTATTTCCCTTTGTTTTTAAAATCCATTTTTTTTTTTTTGTTTATAAAGAGTATGCTGATATTTTATAAATAATTTTTACCTTTTCTTTACGCAAAAGAAGATTGAATTTTTTTATTGTTTTTAATCATAGTTCACATTAACTTCATTTAAGATCTATTTTTGTTTTTTTTACTTTTAAATTTTGATGCTGTTTGATTATGAATTCACTTTAACCCAATTTTTATCCAATTCCTATAGATTCGTGAATATGAATGGTGTCATCCTGGAAACAAAAGGTTGAAATTCAATGTCATTATCACAACCTATGAAATTTTACTGAAAGATAAGGTGAGATTTTTTTTTTTTTTTTATGCTATAGTTGTAAAAATTGTATGGAAATGGAAGATAACAATTTTTGTATTTACTCTCTGCCTGTCTTTTTTATATATATAGTTCTTATTTTTTAATTTTATTTTATAAATCTTTTCAAATAAACAATTTTTAAAACTTGTGCACTATTTTGTTTTAGTCATTTCTTGGTAATGTCAGTTGGGCATTCCTAGGTGTTGATGAAGCTCATCGCTTGAAGAATGATGACTCCTTACTTTATAAATCTCTAAAGGAGTTTGGCACCAATCACAGACTTCTGATCACAGGTACTCCTTTGCAAAACTCTTTGAAAGAGCTGTGGTCTTTATTACATTTTATTATGCCTGACAAGTAAGTCATAGTATTTTATATTTTATAAACTCTTTTGTCTTTTCAAGTTATATAAAATGCCAACTATCATTAATAACTGGGAAGAATAAGGAAAGGTATTTGTAGAAAATTGTAGCATTTAAATGAATTTCAAATTTATTTTGCTTTTTACTGTTTAAGATATATTTTTAAAGCTTCTTAAAGATTATAAGCATTGTACTTAGCTCACAAATAGTGACAATAATATACATTCAGGTTGTTCTGCTTTGAAGTAAGAATCATAAATTAATATTTGTAATACTTCTATCATTGCAGTTTCATTAATTTTGTTATGTTCTTCATGAATTTTAATGTAAAGAGCAATATTGAATTGGAATACATATAACATTTATTTATTGTCAAGAAATTTTCCATTTTTGTTATAAGCTGTTATCTTTGAATGTCACATAAAATTTATTGAATAGATTTGCCAGATGGTCCGATTTTGAAGCAAAACATTCCACGGAAGATAAAACTGGCTTTTCATCGCTCCACAAAGAATTGGAGCCCTATTTGTTAAGAAGAGTAAAGAAAGATGTAGAAAAATCTTTGCCAGCTAAGGTAAATCTGAATTATTATTATTATTATTATTTTTTTTTTTTTTTTATATAAATTTCTTTTCAAAGGTTCCTTTTTCAGTATTCTGTAATATACCAAATCTCTATTATATAAATAACAAATACTATAATGTAACTGATAATCAACCTTCCTCTTTCTAATTACAATTCTTAAAATTACTAATTAAAAACTAATGTAAAAATTGGTATGTGATGATTTTTTTTTTCCTTTTTAGGTGGAACGAATTCTGAGAGTTGAGATGTCTTCAATACAGAAACAATACTACAAGTAATAAAATGTTTTATATTTTGCATAATTTTTTTTTAATTTTCTTTCAATATTTGTTAAAATAACTTTATACTTATAAGTGATATTTTGTATCTTTTTTTTCACTTTTTAGATGGATTCTGACGAAAAACTACAAAGCTTTAAGTAAAGGTGTGAAAGGTAGTGTGAGCAGCTTTGTAAACATTGTTATGGAGCTGAAGAAGTGCTGTAACCATGCATTTCTCATTCGAACAGAAGATAATCAAAATCTGGATAAGTTACAAGCATTGGTTAAAGGCAGTGGGAAATTACTTCTACTGGACAAATTATTGGTAAAACTGAAAGAGAATGGTCATAGAGTTCTAATATTTTCACAGATGGTCAGAATGTTGGATATTCTTGCAGATTATCTTATGCTCAGGCATTTCCCATTCCAGGTAAATTTTTGTTTATTTATAAACAGTATTTTTTTTTAGCTGGTAAATGCTAGATTACAAGTATATTTACAGGACAACACTTTCAAATTTGCTACAACCTTTGAAATCTACTAATTTATAATCCTTTAAATAAAAAAAGGTTATTAGTAAAACTTATAGATAAATTTATTCAATTTCAATTACAGCCTCAACACAACCTTGGTAATCTTAACTACAAAGTCCTTTAACCCTTTGGCCCACTCCTCCTTAATAGCAGCCTTAGCAGCATTGATCTTGAGGTGGGAGGTCTTTTTGGTGACCTGCTCCAAAATGTCCCTCACTTCATAGTCTCGCAGGTTCAGGTTGGAGGAGGGCCAGAAGTTCACTGGTCAGAAAACAACAAAGTCTGTTTTGCAGAACTTACGCTTCTTTGTGTTGGGGAAACACTGTCCTGGGTTTGCACATAGCTAGCCTTGACATAGCAAAGTTGTATTTCAGGACCTTGTAGTAGGCATCGGTCTCACCTTTTTACCAATCTTGTAAAAGAATGGGGGACAAACTTTATTCATCAGAGGCCACAACATCCAAGACCACAACCTGGGCTGGGTGTTTGACCCTGGAAGTATCTTTGATATCATTTGTTGAATCCACTAGGTACTGTTTCTTTTGATAGTTCAAAACAGAATCCATTATGAAGATTTTCTTATCAGAGGATATTTTCACAGTGGGACCATGATTCTTGATGTACCAAGCATATTCTTTCACCTTTCTAGCATTTTGGCTTTCATGGTCTCCATGAAGAGTTACCTTGGGATCCTGGTGTATGATTTAAGGCCAAGGTCATTATGCATGAGCATTCTAATATGCTGTCTTATTCATTTTTGCTGTGGAATCCTTTGCAATTGTGGTCTTAAGGGAATTAATGGAGTCTTGATTTTACTTCTTGTTGACTCTGCTGCTGTCTGGTTTCCTCTAGATATTGTTTCCCATGTCTATGATCTTTCTGACATTGTAGATTGTTCTCGAGGAAACACCATGTTGGAGATACTTTTGTGGTTAATTTATTTATAAAACAATCCTGACAATCTATGCCATTTGTGAATCTATTTTCCACAAAATTCCTGAAAATCAATTGTATATTAATAGTTGACACTATGTTCTCTGACTTCACATTATTTGTTGTAGTTGTTGATGGACAATTTTAGTTTTACTGAAAGTTTTGTTTCTCCACACTGTATTTAGATTATTATATATAAAATTCTGTATATTTGTTTCAACATTTGATCATGCTTGTTTGTAGTTAATGTGAAATTTTAATATTTTATCTCTCCTATTTAGAAATTAACTTTACATTCATTATTTTTGCAAAATATAGTGTGAAATATGAATTTTAAGATTTCAAATTTTACTTATAGAAAAAAACTTTATAATTTTTAGAGGCTTGATGGCTCAATACGAGGTGATCTCAGAAAACAGGCCCTTGACCACTTCAATGCTGAAGGTTCGCAGGTAAATTATTATTACTGTTTATTTTAGAATAATATGATTATATTGCTTTAAGTATGTATCATAAATTTATAACTCGGATTTGCAATAAATAAATTTTGTTTAACACTAAAGAATTAATCTTGATTATTAATTTCAGGATTTCTGCTTCCTGTTGTCTACTCGAGCTGGTGGCTTAGGTGTGAATTTAGCTACAGCCGATACTGTCATCATTTTTGATAGTGACTGGAACCCTCAGAATGATTTACAAGCTCAAGCACGAGCTCATAGAATTGGTCAGAAAAATCAGGTATATAGCGAATCAATGTTTTATTTTTATATTTAATAAGTATTAAACTTGTAGTATATTTCCTATATTGCTGTTTTTGGCTTATGTATGTAAATCAATTTTGTATAAGCAAAATCGCTCCTATATGATTTCAAGTTAAAAAAAAAACAAAACAAAAATTGTTCATGATATAAGGCTAATACTGTTCTTTCATTGTATGTCCAAGTCATACAATGATAATATATATATATATATATATATATATATATATAAATTAACATTCAAGACTCATCTTTTTTTTTTTTTTTTTTTTTTTTTTTTCTACAGGTCAGTGTCTATCGATTAGTAACAAAAGGTAGTGTTGAAGAAAACATTGTGGAAAGAGCTAAGAAAAAGATGGTATTGGACCATTTGGTTATTCAAAGTATGGACACAACAGGGCGAACTGTACTGAACAGAGGAAATGTACCTTCAAGGTAAGGGAAATAAGTTGTATGGTTAAGCTTTGTTTAATTCTTGTTATGTTGAACAACCAAGAATTAAGAGTTTGCATTAGTATCATCAAAATAAGTGTTTACTTCAATAAAATCCAGTGAATCTCTAACCTTAATTCTTACACTTGGTTCACTTATATAGATAATTGTTTTTGTTATTGTGCTATCAGTTTTATGATCACAAACTTGTGAATTGAAATGATTTTTGTTTCAGTAATAACACCCCATTCAACAAAGAGGAATTGGCAGCAATCCTCAAATTTGGTGCTGAAGAACTTTTTGGTGGTGAAGAAAATGAAGATGAAGATGAACCACAGGTTAGCTTATTGGTTTTCATTTTTTTCTTTTCTTAATACATATTCATTGAAATATTTTTGTTCTTCATTATGACTTAGTAAAGAAATAGTGTTAAAAATGATTGTCATTTATCTACTTTTTTAAATATATTATGCTTCTTTATTGACTTGGTTTGTAATGGTCTGTAAGAAAACATGAGTGCAAAAGAAAATGTATGATACTACCTAGCTATTAAGGAATTTGAAATATTATTTTTTAAGCATATAATACAAAATTTGTCTTTTTGTATTATTATATTCAAAATTAGATTAAATATTTAGCTAACAGATAGTTCTGGCTATTTGTACGAAAAACAAACTATTTTGACTATTAAAAATATACCCCCCCCATCTCTTCATGGTGAACTGTGCTTATAAAGTATTTGTACATTCAAAAAAGTATTTATCCACATTGTCTATGAAAGGTTTGATTAATATTTTTTTAAAGAAATGAAAACTCTAATTATACCTGTTCTCTTTTTCAATTATGATTAACTTTTTGATCATATATGTATATAGATATATAAATTTATTTTATTAGATATTCTTAAAGAAGGAAATTAGCAGGCTATTTTATTTTTTTATTTATTCTCAGGTGGATATTGATGATATTCTTCAAAGTGCTGAGACTAGAGAAACTGAAACAGCTAGTGCTGGTGATGAGCTTCTATCACAGTTCAAGGTCAGTTACAAAATATCAAAAGTGAAACTTTATATTGGCTTCATCAGTAAATCAATTTATAAATTACTGATCTTTTTTTTTTTTTTTTTTTTTTTAAATATGTGGTATTCTATTTTTAGTTATAATTTTTCCTTACAAATTTTCTTTTCTATCTAAAATCCTTTCTATTACATTTGACTTGCTTCTACTATTTGTAATAATTATCTGTGAATATTGTTAAAATGCCAAAATTTATAAAACATTTTGAACTTGCTATGATTTTATTTTTGTACTTAGTCATCCTATGGAATTAGTCATCCTTGTTTTAAATATTTTTGATACAACATTGCTGATTAGCAATAATAAACTGTAATGGGATTTAAAATGCTTGAAATATTTTTCATTTATAAGTAAAAAATTTTCAACAATAATTTTCATTATTTAATGTTAAAATTGCAATATATTTTTAAACATTTTGAAATGAATTCTAATTATTGTTTTCAGGTGGTTAGCTTTGATAATTTAGAAGAAGAGGAGCCAATTAAGCCCATTGGAGGTAAGCAGGAAAGAAATACTGCTTTGAAAATTTCTAATATTTTATATTAAAAAACAATTAGAATATCATTTCTATATTTTCAAATTCTGCTTGAGTCTTATTTTTTTTATTTCTGATTCTTGCTTAGTGTTTGACAGTTAAATAATAATAATAATAGCACCATTTCATCTAGAAAAAGTTAATAATTTAATAACTGCTAAACAGTTTCACAATATTTCAGTTTGTGTATTTGATTGCATAGGAAAAGACTGGGAAGCTATAATTCCTGAAGGAGACCGGCAAAGAGTGGAAGAAGAGGAAAGACAAAATCAATTATTAGAACTCAACTTACCTCCACGTATTCGAAAATCTATACAGCAAGTAAGTAATGATTTTACTTTGAGCATACCAAGAAAATTTTTATGAAGTTTATATTATATGAGCAGAAACTTTACATATATGAATGCACCTTTTTTATTTTATTTTTTTAAGATTCAAATGGATTCAGATGAAGAAAAGAAAGGAAAGAAAAAGAGTAAAGATGGTGAAGATTCTGAAAGTTCAGAAGATGATGATGAAGATAAACCTCGTAAAAGAGGTAGGCCTCGGACAGTTAACAGGGATACCATCAAGGGCTTCACAGATGCTGAAGTGAGAAGATTTGTTAAAAGTTATAAAAAGTTCCCTTCTGCTATTAATAGGTAAAGACAATTTTCAGTTTTTTTTCACATTATTGTCAGGCAGGGATTCAGTGGGAGTGGGACTAACTTACTTGGGCAAAGCACAATTTTAAAAAAAGGAAGATATTAAGAAAATAAAAAATTAAAGAAAGAAATGAAAAAAAATTCTCATTAATCAAAATTCTTATATATATAAACAAATTTGCTATTGTTTTAACCTGCACAATATTTTAAATATAATATTAAAATGGCTCTTAGTGAATTCTTGATAATTTTTCTTTGTTTAATTATTTCTAATTTACTTCTTTGAATTTTATTACATCTCCTTTATTTTTATTAAAACCATTATTTTTTTTTAGACTTGATGCCATTGCTCGTGATGCTGAACTGCAAGAAAAATCAGAGGCTGACTTAAAGAGAGTTGCTGAATTGTTAAAAGAGCGATGTGAACAGGCAATGACTGAATATAAAGAAAAACTTGATGAAGATCCAAATTTTGAAGGTAAAGATCAATATCCTTGTTTTCATGTAGTAGTGATAAGACTTTGATCAAAGTTGTGGAATAATTACAATCTGAGAATTAATCTTTATAAAGGAAAAGCTTTGCTGAAATTACTGTGGTTATTTGACATTTCATGAAAGTTTTCAATTTTTGTCCTTTCATTTTCTATTGGCAGCTGGTAAAAGAACACATCGTGGTCCTTCCTTTAAACTTTCATCTGTGACAGTGAATGCCCAGGCAGTTCTTAAAATACAACAAGAGTTAGAACCTTTATTTACTTGCCTCAAAGAAAAAGATGGCAAGAAAATGTGAGTTTACAAGTGCTTTATTATAAAACTCTGGAGGAATGCTTTATGCATTTCTATAATGTATGTCTATTTCCATATATTTGTGTGGTGACATTTACTATAGCATAATGTTTACTAAGCTTAACTTATAGGTTAATATAGTCAGTTCTATCCTCTTTGAATGCCCACTAATTTTGGCCTAGTGCCAGACTAAGCTGAGCTTACTAAGGTGTATTCATGCATGCAAATGTGATGTTTCACTGATGTAATGGTGCTGTTAAAACAAAAAAAACAAGAAGAAGAAAAGTAATGTTTCTGTTCCTAATTCTTCCACGTTAAGTAACCCCTTGTGTTTTAGTGGCTTTACTACCTTGTTTTGGGTGAAACTGATTAAAAAAAAATGTTTAAAGTTTAAAAAAAGAAAAAAAAGATGGTGCACTGCAAATACAGATAGAAGAAAATGATTAGTTTGTTAATAATTTTTAAAATTATTTGGTAGAACAAGTAAAAGATCTGCTAAATTTTAACTTAATCAGTTTTACTTAAAGAAATTAGATATATTTTGCATATGTTTTAATCAAAAAATAATGTTTTCTGTTTTACTTTTTAAGCATTTTCTCTTATGTTCCTTACTGAATTAAATTATGTTAAAACTTATCTTGTTTTGATTTAGGAAGAACCAAGAATTTTATATTCTTGCAGAATTTGTGAAAAAAACTTTCTGGTAAACATTCTTACAATATTTATTGGAATTATGCTTATTTTTATTTTATTTTTATTTTTTTTTAAACAGGTATGAAATAAATGGAAGAGTCAAACTGGTTCACTGGGATTGTCCCTGGGAAATAGATGATGATATCAATTTATTGGTTGGGATATATGAATATGGTATTGGTAGCTGGGAAGATATAAAAATGGAACCTGAATTAAATCTCCGTGACAAGGTAAACCATTTTATATGTTTAATTTGAGTTTTCTATTGGAATATATTTTATAATTCATAATTTAATTGTTTTTTCTCCCTCCCTCTTCTTTTTCTAATATAAAATTATATTAATTTTTCATTAAACTTGAGTGTTTTTACTTTACTTTTATGGAATCTCATTTTTATTTTTTTTTAAATTTTAACTTGTGCACTTTATTTTATGCAATCTTTTCAAATGCTATTATTCAAATACATTATTTATTAATAATTATCTGTAGAAGAATTCATATTTAAAATTTTAAAACTTGTCTTTTTTAAGATTCTTCCAGATTCTGATCTAAAGCCTCAGGGTAAGCATCTTCAAACAAGAGCAGACTACCTATTGAAGCTTCTCAAGAAACAGAGTGAACAAACCCCAACATTTGTTAATGTAAGTAGCTTGTTAAATAGCCATTCAACTTAATGAAAAGGTGGAAAAATGTTCTTTTTTAAACATTAAATTATCTCAAAGCAATGGTAGTTAAATTGTCATATTCTGTCTTCATTTCATTCAACTCTAATTGTATATGATGATAAAATTTATTCTTTGCAGTGACTTGACATGTAAAATTTGGTGGCATTTGAACAATAAATATAATTAGGAATTTGTAAACAAAATAACTTCTAGATATAATTTAAGTTCGTTGACTGGTAGCAAATGTTTATTTTAAATAACTATTGTTAGCAATGAACTTTTTCTTCTTCATATATATATATTTACAACAATTGTATTTAAGCATGTACATGGGTCATTAATATACAAATATCAATTTCAACAGCATTATTTAACTTCTCTCCTAGAATTTATATTCACCTACCTTCAATAATTCCTTGTAAGATGCTTTGTTTTCTTTAGGCATATTTCCTTTGTCTCACAATAAATTCTTTTCATAGACGGCAGTTAAGCCAAAGAAGCAAAGAAGAAAAAAACCTAAATCTGCTGAAATTATCTCTGAAGTTAATGAAGCTGGAGATATGAGTGCCAAAGAAGAAACAAATGACAGTTTCCCAGATAGTGTGAAGAGTGGAAAGAGTGCAAAAAAAAAAAAGAAAGATAAAGAGGAAGAAAAGGTAGAAGAGAAACCTGAGGAGGAAAAGAAAGAAGAAAAGAAAGAGAAAAAAGAAAAAGAAAAGAAGAAAAAGGAAAAGGTTTGTTCATATAATTTTTAGTTTGCTAAATTGTGCTTATTTAAAAAGAAATAAACAAATTAATGTTATTTTCATAAAAAAACATTTTTGTGTGTCAAGTAATGAAAATTGAGGAAGCTGTATTCCATTTACTGTAATTTTCATTTTCATAAATCCTTTATTTATAGTCTTATAAGAAATTGTATCTGAATAATGTTTATGAATTATTGTTATATTGTTTAGCATTTCATGGTTATCTAATACAAAAATGTATTGTTTGTTTTATATTGTTTTATAAGTCACATTAATTCTTTTTACTAAAAGGAACTTTTATGTAATCACTTATATTTATTTACAGAAAAATCGTAATGATGGCCCCATGCATTTCACAGCAACATCTGAACCTGTAGCTATATCTCAAGAAGTGGATATTGGCCTCCCACCAGAAGTATTTAAAGAGGTATATCTTTCTCTTTTATATCATAATTATTATTTTATTTATTGAAATATAGAGGAATATGTATATATGAGGAATAGTCTTAATAGATTTTAGACAACTTAGCTAAGACTCATCATCCGTATTCTGATGAATAGACCACACAACAGAATCAGGCCAGGGATAGGACAACAGTGCGGCTTTGTTAAAGACACTGGAACAAGGAACGTGATATTCATGCTCAGAATGTTATCAGAAAGAGCAATACAAATGCAGAAGGATATGTACCTATGTTTCATAGATTGTGCAAAGGCCTTCGACAAAGTATGCCACAGGGATCTGTTGAAACTGCTCAGCAACTTTGATATATTCAGGAAAGATATTAGAATAATCAAGAACCTATACTGGCACCAAACAGCATGCATGTGCATAGAGAATGAGTTCAGCAAATATACAAAGTACACCACAAGGATCTGTTGGAACTGCTCAGCAACCTTGATATATTCAGGAAAGATATTAGAATAATCAAGAATCTATACTGGCAGCAAACAGCATGCATGCGCATAGGGAACAAGTTCAGTGGATATACAAAAATAGAAAGGGGCGTAAAGCAAGGATGTTTCTTTTCACTGGACCTATTCAACCTATACAGCAAGGCAATTCTGAGAGAATTGGAAATCCTACCGGGATTCAGCATTGGCGGGCACAATCTTAACAACATAAGATACACAGATGACACAGTACTGATAGCAGACATGGAAAAGAAACTACAAAACCTCCTACAGAAGGTAGCGATGGAGAGTAAGAAGAAGGGACTAAGCATAAAGTACAAGAAGACAGAATGCATGGTCATCAGTAAAAGGATGAGCCTGAAATGTGATTTTCAGGTTGGGGACACTAAAATCAAGCAGGTGCAGAAGTTTAAATATCTGATAAGTGTTTTGACAGAGGATGGCAAGTGCAACACTGAGATCCGTAGATGTATTGGGATGGCCAAGGATGCATTCCAAAAGCTGGGCAGAGTATTGCAAGACTGGAGGATTTCTTTGGTAACAAAGAAAAGAGTATTGAGCTGTTACATGTCATCTGTCCTCCTTTATGGCAGCGAATGTTGGATGGTCTCCTCAAAGATGAAGTGATTCAAGGCAACAGATGTGGTTCTACAGAAGGATGCTGAGGATATCATGGACTGAGCGTGTGAGCAACAATGAGGTCTTGGAGAGGATGCAAACAAGGAGGAGGCTTATACTTATCATCAGGAAGAGGCAGCTGAAGTTTCTAGTCAAATGTAATGAGAAAGGAGAGCCTGGAGAATCTGATACTCACAAGTCAAGTAGAGGGAAAGAAAGACAAAGGAAAGCAACACATGACATACCTGGTGAGCTTAAGCAAGTGGATGACAAAACGTGTTCTGGAGGAGTTGCCAGAGGGACAAAACTTATTGAGAGCTACAAGTGATAGGGGGAAGTGGAGAGTCATGATCGCCAATGTCCTGAAAGGACACGGCACATAAAAAGAAAAAAAAATCTATAAACTTACATTTGGTAACGTAAATATTCAATACAAGAGCTAATTTATAGGAACATGAAACAAGATTTAATTATGGTTTTTCATCTAAAATAAAATAAAAATTCTTTATAATATATTTTTTGTGCATATATTTGTAATACTTTATTTTATGTTTAAATTTTAACAAAAGACTGGATTAAATTTTTGTTTTTCATTAATATGGTTTGAGTATTTCATCTCAGTGATAATGTAATATTTTCAAGTTTGGAATATACACAACCTACTGTGGTCTTCTTACTGTATTAGTAATTTAAAAAATTTCTTTTTACATAATTTTTTTGGTAAATGGGTATTCTAATTTTGAAATAGTAACCATAAAAATGCACTTTTGTTTCCTGATCATTTTGTCATATTGTGAACTTTGATTTTAGTGCAAAGAAAAGATGCGACCAGCAAAGAAATCTCTGAAGCAATTGAGTAATGGTGATGATAGCATGTCTGAAAAAGAACAAATGAATCAAACCCGTCAGTGCCTCTTGAAGATTGGTGATCGTATCCATGAGTGCCTTGCTGAGTACAATAATCCTGACAAGATAAAGGAATGGCGCAAGTAAGTTTAGCTTTTTATTTTTTTATTTTTTTACACAAAATTTATATTAACCAATTTCACCATTTTTTTTTATTTTTTATTTTTTTTCCTGTTAAAGATTTTTTTTTTTTTTTTTTTTTGAGATATTAATTTTTTTTAAGTTTATCAAGGAGAATATTATCCTTTAAAAACTATCAAATACAAGTAGTTAAAATTGAGTGTATACAATTATATTTAATTAAATTTAAATTGATAAAAGATCATACATATTTGTGATATGTATAGATAAGATATTCTATAATGAAGCAATTAAGTTGCTTTAAATAATTCTATTTTCATATTTTCTAGCATATTATTGATCCATATTTATAATCTTTAAATAAAATGACCTAGGTTTTTAAACAAATATTGGAACATGAAAGATAAAAAAAAAAAAAATTGATATAATTTGTATATATTGATACTAACACCTGCTAACCATGTAATAATTAACTCTTGGATTTTTTCATTGGGTGTCCTCAAAATATAGCTTTGTGTGTGTATATATATATATATATATAAAGAAATATAGTCTTAGGATGTACTATATTTATGGGATAAAGTGCTCAATATCAAAGATTGTGTGTGTGTGTGTGTAAATATAAAAGTGAACATTGAAGTCAACATTAGATGATAGTCTGTTTCATGCTGATGCAATCGTCAGGCCTGACGATTGCATCTAGCATGAAACAGACTGTGCTTTTAAGTGTTGGCTTTATGTTCACTATGTATATATATATATATATATATATATATATATATATATATATATATATATATATAGGCTAACCTCAGCCACAGTGTGATAACCAATAACATACATGAAAAGATTCACGTTATGACATAAACTAATAATAAAAGTAATAAAACCATTTCTACCTTATATATTATTGGCATAACTTCATAATAAATTGCCTATTCGGAGAATAATTCCATATCAATGAAATCAACTTTTATCCATGCAATCTCAGCTGAAAAATTGTAAACATAGAGTTATGATTGCGTTCACAGCAGCCTTTAGCTTTCACTAAACTTTCAATAATCATCATGATAATGTTAACTATGGTACTAATAACATTTAGGGTAACACAATATTCATTTCTCATTAAAAATTAAGGATAGAATGAATAAAAAAATGTTGAAAGTGGAATGTACTATTATCATACATTATCAGCGGTATTTTGTGATTGTAGATATAGGAAAAGAAGAAGAATCAGTATTCACGAGCTCACGTGATGAAACGTAAGCAAAACAATGGTTTCTATTTTAAGGGACATGTGTAGAGAAACATGGTATAGAATTGCTTTTGTTATTTCATTTATTTTGAATTACACAGGATATAGTAAGTAACAACAGGTATTAGATAAATTCATGAAAATTTGCTATATTTTTTTACCTTGTCTTATATAAAGGTCACCTTATACATGGAAATATATAGTGTATTTATTTATATACACACACACACACACACACACACAGAATTTTAGCAAATTTACTTTTGCGGAGGATTTGTTTCAACATAGATTTATTTTTTCCTATTAAAAATAGCATCATGCACTATTAGTTGCAGAATAACTTATTGCTAAATAATTTGTATTTTCAGTTTCAGATTGGTTAATAAAATGCATTGAAAAATGTATTCAGATATATTTATCCAAAGATAATTATCAACATTTTTACTCTTTTTTTTTTTTTTTTTTCCAGTTATTTATGGATTTTTGTTTCTGAGTTTACTGACCTTAGTGCAAATAAACTTTATAAGCTATATCGGACTGCTGCAAAGAGAAGAGAGAATGAACAAGAGCAAAAAGAAAAAGTATGTTAAATGGAAGCTGTTTAAAATAATTTGACAGTTTTTCATGAAACTTGAACATTAATGTTTTTGCATTTTCATTAATCACTTCATAATTTTATAAAACATTAAGCTTCATTTTTAGACATTTTAAAGTAAAAACTGTTTAAAGTTTGTAATCAAGAAAGTGTTGATTGAAATTATAGAGAGCAGAGGATAACATCTGTTTGATAAGATTCATTTGTTTTGGAGACATATTATTGGTAGTTGATGTACCATGAATCTAACAAATTGGTATTTGTGCTTTACCTCTACAGTTTACAGCAATTTAAGCCTATTAAAGGTAACACTTTGATCACAAACAAGATTCATTTATTTGTCTAATAAATAGAACTAGAAAAGGAATTATATTATTATTTTCATAACCTTGGAAAATATCTTTTTTCTAAGTTTAAATTGTGGTATATTAAAGTGGATTTTAATCTCTTCAAAATTTTCCATATATAAAAACAATAGAACAAAGATTAAATTATATACAACTTCTAAAGTATAAAATGTAAAATTGTAATTATTATTTGATTGCAGCACCCCAAATTTTCAGAAAGTCAGCATTTATCTCATTACAAAATTGCAAAACGTCCTCGAATTCAAAATGAAGGACAAAGAAAAGATCCACCTGTTAAACGGCATTTTGGTTCTGACCATTGGGGTGACAAAAGTAGAGACAGGTGAGTTTTAGTATTTGTACTTATGTAGCATTTTGATTTTGGTCATTGGTCGTGACTTATTTTGTAGTCTTATATCTCTATTGTACATTTCTTTTTTAGTCATGTTTATCAAAAATAGTTTAACGCCTCTATTTATTATACTTTGTAAAATTACAATATATAAATTTTATTTTTTAATAATTTTGAAAATTATTTTGGTATAAAAAATATATATATTTTTAATGCAAATGGTGGAGCAAAAGATGTGGCCAAAATGGGGGAAAGTCACCTGTATTAAGTACATCTATAGTACCTTGTAAAATATTGGTGCATTTCAAGTGGTGATACATATTTTTGAGAGGGTGCTGTAAAAGTTCTTGGCCTGGCCTGGCCCATTTCCCAAAATCTAACAAAATGACCAAACATTAGGATTTTTTTAAAAATCCTATCTGGGCTGGGCTGATAGCTTTTCAGCACCTCCTCATGTTGAACAGTGTGCTGTAAATTTTCTGTAATGCTATTTCTTGAAAGTATCAGAATCAAGCTTGCTGTTAAATAGATGTTGTGCAGACAGATTTGACTGCTGTGCAAAATAAATAATATGCTTTGTCTTAATTGCCATATATTTATATCTTGTTAAGGCTGTGTTTGAGATACAAAAGGTTTTATGTACATATTCCTGTTTTCAGTACATCTTCTCACAGCAATGGCCCGTGGCATAGCACTTCCAACTCTAATTCCAATCACCCAACATCTTTCCGTAATGTGTTAGGAAACACAGGTCGAGATTCAAGTCGGTTGGACCTTCCTCAATCTACTATGAGTCCCCATTCTGATAGATGGCAGCATAATAGCCCCCTATCTAGGACTGGAGATCAAAAAAGAAATCGGTAAGCCTACCTTTGATTCCGAGATGGCTTCTCATGATTTCTGTTTCAGACTCTTCTGCTTACTACAGTCTTTTTGGCTCTCCCTTTGCTTTTGGTGTGTTTTCAAGTTATTTGACTTTATTTTAAATGCTTGTTTTCTTTTGTGTTTATTAATAACTTTCACCATTTGAGTTTAACTTAATCTTTCCCTATTTTTCATTATAGGTATGACATGGGTTCTAATTCCTATAATAGACCTCCACATCCTCCTCCTCCACCACCACCACCACCTCATCCTGATATGTATAACAGAGGTTATCATGGAGGAGATCACCATCACAGGTGAGAACAAGTACTTGTTTGTCTCTTTTTACCAGTATATTCCAGTAAAAAGCAATTTAAATAAAATATATATTAGATTTCATTGCCAGGCTATAAGAATTGTCACACATTACATATTTGTTTATTTATATTCAAGTATTTCTTTCTTTTTGAATCCACAATCTACTGGTAAGAATTGAGTCAGTTGAGTATTGATTTTTTTTTTGTTTTTGTTTTTTTTTTTCTGCACACATAACCATGAAATTTGATCTAGATAGAGCTTGTGAATTTGCTTTTTTCCTTAGTATTTGATGAATGATGATTATTCTTGGTGCATAGCTTTATAAAGGTGGATATTTACAATGATCAGATTTGAAGTTGCCTCACTTTTATTTTTGAGAGTATCCTTCTATTTATATTAAACAATGCTTTACAGAAATAAAATATCTTGATTTTGTCCATGGAATTTTCTTATCTTTTGTTATAATAAAAACTTTGTTCTTTTTTTGGAAGATTCAACCATGATCGGCGAGACAGAGATCACCCACCATTTTCTGGTAGCAATTCTGGTTACAGTTCACATAATCGATTTGATCCTCATAGAAGTGGGGATTTTCGGTATCATCATCGATCTGACTTTAAACACCATCATTCAGGATTGGATCGTGACAAAAGGTAATCTTAGCTTTTCTTTAGTCTACTATTCTTGCATTAAAAAAAGAAAAATCTATATAAATCTGAAAATTATTTATCATAATTGCAAGTGTATCTGACTAATGATCAATTGCAAGAAAACAAAATGCATAGTCTATAGGGACAGCCCAAGATATGAGCTATGAATTGGAGACGTCAGCATCAAGTAAGTAGGGAAATTTAACTATCTGGTGAGTGGTATAACTGTTGTGGTAAACCCTCCTACAGTAAAATGAACTCTTCCTCCTCTCATAAATACAAACTGCGAGAGTCAGGTAGAGTGGAGTGGAGTAGTAGACTCAGTGCTAATTTACTTATTATTAATACTATTGTTTTATATATATCTTCAATATACGTTTTCAACCTACCTTCATCTTCCATGTCTTTCTTTCTGGACCCTAAACAGGCCCACTTGGCAACGAGGATTAGCACTTCATAGGGACTCAAAAAAAAAAATTGCCGTTGCCAGTGTCCACAACAACTTGGCGACAAAGATTTACGAGGAGTTGCAAGGATTTTGTGTGGACCACCGTGATTAAAAGAAACTCTCTCAAAATACGGAAAATCGAGTTTTTTCGTAAAAGACACACTTATGGAGGATTTCAAAAATATTTTAGTAGAACTTGTAAAATACCAGAATGCACAGCAATTACAACTCCAAGAAAGAATGGAAGAGAAGTGGCAAAACAATTGCTTTCTCAACAGGAAAAAATGGAAAATGTATTACTGCAAACCCAGAAGGAAAATTGAGTGAGATAGCTCGAATTTCAAAAGGAAAATCAAGAGAGACAGCTTGAATTTCAAAAGTAAGTGTTAGAATTGACAAACCATAGTAATCCCATCGAAAACAAATTTTCTTTTTTGCAAAACACCATTTGGAGTGCGATAGAGAATTTTTCATACAATCCCGAGGAAGACATAACCTTCACGTCATACTTTAGGAGGCATGAGGACTTGTATACGTCAGATTGTGTGAATTGGAGTGACTTGAAAAAAGTATGTCTTCCGAGGAAACTTGGCACAACTGAGCACACAAAATTCGTTAACTACATTCTGCCCCGTAAAACTAGCGAATTGACATTCACTGAAGCAGTGGAATTACTAATAGAGCGCTTTAGCCCAAAGACATTTCTTTTTCATTAGAGACGGAAATGTCTTAATCTAACTAGGAAAGAATGGGAAGACTACACCACTTTTGCGTCAATTGTAAACAAGCACTGCAATGATTTTAGACTGGCGGAGCTAACTTCAAATGCTTGATATTCGTGCATGGATTAGTTTCAGCAAAAGATGCAGAAATTAGGCGAAGAATCCTAAACAAATTGGAGAATGAGCCGAATATAACTCTACAGCAGATCTCTGAAGAATGACAGAGGTATGTCAGTTTAAAGAAGGATTCAAAAAATATCAAAGAATCTGGTATTGCTCGCGTCAAAAACCTACGCCACAAACAGAAACAAACAAAGTCTCTTAAAACTGAAACAAAGAAGAAACCAAATAAGTTGGCCCTTAACCCATGCTATGGATGTGGGGCCCTACATTGGTACAAAGATTGTATGTTCTGGAATAAAAAATGTTACGTTTGTAACCGAGTTGGACACAAAAGTTTGCATTGCCGATCTAAAAATAAAACCAATAGTTGCATAAAAAATACAAGGTCAGACGAATGAGACATTGCTAATATCAGGAAATTCATGCACGTAAAAATGTTAAACAAAAGTGTGGAATTTCAACTAGACTTGGGTTCTGATTTAACTATAATAAACTTGCAAACATGGAAAAGATTGCATAAGCCAACCATGATAAAATCTAGCAAGATCAGTAACAGGAGAAAAAATTAAATTTGAGGGAGAATTGATTACAAATATAACGTTCAACAGGAAGACTCTTAAATCAAAATTGTTTGTCCTGAAAAATACTAACAACCTATTTGGCACTGATTGGATGACACAATTCCAGCTTTGGGACTTGCCTATAAATTCATACTGCCAAAAAATTAAACTACAAGACAACGTCCAGCCAGTGTTCAAAAAGAAGCGAAATGTGCCTTTTGCCTCGTTGGAACAGATTAACAAGGAACTTGCAAGAGTAGTAAAAACTGGGGATCTATTGAAGGTAGAAACAAAGAACAGTTCATCTAAAAAGGCTAAAAAATTAGCTGCTAAGAAAGTGAAACTGAAGAAATTAGCAAAGGTAAAGATGAAAGTGCTTCATGTTGACAAGACAAAAAAGCGGAAAGTTCTTGTTAGAGGCAAAGTAGCCAAAGCAAAGAAACTGGCTCAAGGAACACAGGACTCTATCCCTAAACAGAGCAAGGAAGTTGCATCAGTTTCAGCAAACTCTGATCAGAAAAACGTTGTGTTAGACTTAAAACAAACCTGGACCAGTGAAAAGGAGTAAGCATTTTGTGCAAAAGGTTTCAGTTTCTGGAGAAAACAGCAGCAAAGGCAGCAAAAAACCGTACCGAAAAAAAAGAGACCACAAACAAAAGTTTGCAAGCTTGTTCTACGTTGAACTTGGCAAAACAAGTCAGCCAAGTTTTAAATTCCTAGCCAGATGTAAAAAGAAAATGCTTGTTGTTTTTTTTTTTTTTGATAATGTAAAACAACTCAGGTGGAGGAAAACCACTAAAAAGTTGGTAAATTTTTTTTTTTACGGGTACATGTGGAAAAAGAAAAAACAATTATTTCTTCAGACTCCTGCGGAGTTAAGATTTTAGGATTGGGGTGGGGTGTTGTGGTAAACCCTCCTACAGTAGAATGAACTCTTCCTCCTCTCATAAATACAAACTGTGAGAGTTGGGTAGAGTGGAGTGGAGTAGTAGACGCAGTGCTAATCTACTGATTACTAACACTATAGATTTATATATATATATATATATATATCTTCAATATACTTTTTCAACCTACCTTCGTCTTCTGTGTCTTTCTGGCCCCTAAACAGGCCACAACAATAACAGACACTGGAAAATGTGATACTGAAATCTGAAGGTGTGATAGAATAGCAAATGATGCTTTCCAAAAGCTAAAAGGTTCAAGAAATGAGAAAATTTTGTTAGAAACAAAGAAAAGAGCACTGGACTGCTATATAATATTGATCCTCCTATAGGACAGTGAATGCTAGATAATTTTTTCACAGATGAAGACACTTGAGGCAACATAGATGCTGAGAATAATGGATAGAGCATGTGAACAACAAGGAAGTTTTAAAGAAAATGTAAACAAAAAATGACTCTTGTACATAGAATCAGAAAGAGATAGTTGAAATTTCTGTGATGCATAATGAGGAAAGAAGCTACACTATGCCAGGGGAATCCCTGAATAAATGACCAATGTATTAGAAACAGGATTTTCTTTTTCTTACCATGAAGATATTTTCACCTTTTGTTCCTTTGTAAAACTAAAATGGTCTACATGTACAAAATAATTAAATCCGAAAATTCCAAACCAAAGTACAAAATTCCAAGAAATAGAAACCTCTAAACATTCTCAAGAGAATCAAAAGGTACATAAAAGAAAATAACACAATTTTTAGTGAAGAATCAAGAGAGATGGACATAGAGGAACAAAACTTTAGCCTATCACTAACAAGGGAACAGTCATCATCTATACAAAGATCATTAAAAGAACTTAATGGAAAAACTAAGAGAACAAAATCAAACAAGCAGAAACAAAAGAAGTTCAAAGATCAAAACAAGAAGAAATGAAATGCTAATAGGCTGGAGAGCATAGAAAGTATGGACACTTCACCCATGTAATATAAATTTCATTAAAGAAATCGGGCTCTACAGGAAAAAAAATAGTTTACTAAATCTGCTTTCTTGTTTTCATAATGTAATTTGAAAAAAAAAAAAAAAAAATTATTTCCAACAATACATTTTTGGTTACCAGCAATACTTTTATGAAGGAAAAATTATTATTAGCAATGTATTGTTGAAGGAAAGTTATTACCAGCAGTACAATATAGTTTTGAAGAAAAAATTGTTCTCAGAGATAATAATATAATTTCTCTTTCAATTTTGAAGGAAATATCATATTATCAGCAATATAGTTTCATAACAGCATATTACCAGCAATGTGTTTTTGGAAAGGTGTTGCCGGCAATACATTCTTGGAAAAATGTTACTTGCAATCGATTTTAAAAGGAAGGATATTGCTAGAAATAGTTTTTGAAGAAAAAATATTGCCAGCAATAAAAATTTTGCCAGCATCAAATAACCAATTGAGCTTGATATGCTGTAAAACTCAATCAATCAATCATTTTAGTACATTGTTACTTCTGTGCATTTGTTTGTATATTAGTTTTTACATATGTTTTCCTCAAGGGATTTTGTGTAAAGTTAAACAAATGATTTTATTCATTATTTTGCTCTTCTTGAATTTAGTCAATATCAAAAGTCTATTAATGTAATTTGTTTTTAATAGAAAAGCTAAAATTGGAATTTTGTCCTCAATTAAAAATAATCATTACCTTGAACTGCAAAGTTTCTAACTTCTATGAGTGTATAATTATATAGTATGCACAATTTTTTTTTGTACCAAATGTTAATGTGTGTATATTTTTGGAATATATTTTAGCACCATTTTGATTTAATAGTCAATTTCAAGGTTTTAACAGTTTTTTTTTTTTTTTCAGTCATCAGTCATATCAAGACAGAAAACGGAGAAATGATGATCGCAAAGAACACCGTAGTAGCAAAGAGCGAAAAACTGACAGTATGTCACGATCACAATCTTCCCAGGATTCAAAACAAAGAAATTGAATCCTCCCAAGTGTTTGTGAATGTTTATTTTTTCAATCAACAATCCTTCCTTTATAGACTGGCCACTTAAGGCTGAAAAGAAGAAAAGACAATGCAAAAGAAACCAACACCACCCTATGCTCGCAATTACAGTGTCTGCAAATAACTATATAATTCTTGCTATATTGGTTCTTTCCATTGGAACATATCTTGACTGATAGAGACAGTATTGGGAGCTTATACTTGATGTGTACCTGCATTCTTGTATTCAAAATTGATCTGAGAACCATATTGGCAATTTGACACCAGTGATATATCAACTCTTTACCCACTGCTGTTGCTTTGGCAGCTCTATCTTTCCTTGCAACTCTACCAATACCCATCTACATAAATTATATAAAAGACATCCCCCTACCCCAATAAAAACTGTTCTCTGTACACAAAAGGATAATGTTGATATCTGAACTAGAAAAATATACTGGCTCGGCTTGTGACAACCACGGAGATAGGGAAACAATGTTGTTTTTTGGTAACAAAAATATTTAATGGAATTTAAGTGTTTGTTATATGGGTCATTTTTGGAAATAATTAATATATCAGTAATACATAGTCAAACAGTTTGAATTTAGCATACTTTTGCTATAAGTGTGTAATTAATCTTTTCAAAGGTAAGTACTAATCCTTATAACTTTAGATTTTTTTAAATAATTTCTACTCTCAAGAATATTACATTACTGATATGGATAACAATAAGAGTTAACTTTTAATTTCATTTTCTAAAATATTAAGACAGAAGGCTTGAAAATGTTACAAAACTATTTATCATCAATCTGTTTTATTAGTAGTGATAATATGTCAGAACATTTCAAGTTATTTACAAAAGAAATATAAAAATAATGATCCTGATAATTTAAAGACAATTTTTAGAATTTTTATTTTGGGATAACCAGATTGTGGTGGGGTGGGAGTATGATAGAAAAAAAAAAGCAAAAAATATATAAATATAAAATAAACTGAGATAAAATCTTTTTTTTATGTATATTTCTTACTTATCCATTATTGGTGGATAAAAAGCTGTATACATTCTATTTCCCATCTTACAAATGCTGTCAGGTCCGGATAGGATGAGGAAGGACATGTGGAAAGCACACAGTAAAACAAGTCTGCTGTGAATGCTAATAAATTGTATATACTCGTAAAAAGACTGTGATCTCATGAATGACATATTTTTATGAGACTTTCATTGAACTTTTTAGCCACTCAGCTAAATTATGGATGATGATGATGATGATGATGATGCCAACATTCTTTTACCCAGCCTCCAACCATAAAACCAGTGCTACACTGAAAACATAACATACATACACACAAACAAATATAGGACTCTATACATGTTGTATTTATGTATATGTGCATATACAGTTTACATTTGCATAAGATGTTACTTTCTTTTTTTTTTTTTTTTTGAAAGAAAAGAAAGAAAGAAAAAAAGAAAAAAGTTTTCTTAACTAAATGGAAGATCAAATCTAATGAAAGAGCCAAAATAAGACTTTGTATTGTGAAATGAATTCAGTTTTTTTTTTTTTTTTTTTTTTTTTCTGGCACTTACTGCTGAGTGTCAACATCAAAGAATGGATAAAACTTGATAATTCCGCCATTCCCTCAATTGTCAGGTTTGGAAGAAAAGAAAAATCCAAAAACACCAGGAAGAAAGAAAAAAAGACTGTTGATCCTGCTGTGTACAAATATGTATGAAAGCATTACTCTACTTCAACATGCAATTACACAAATTGATTAGTCTTTAGAAACAACAATTAGTTGATTCATTGACTGATCTGTTTGGAATTTCTATTACACATCCAGGATTTTGTTGACATTTGCTGGAGATTCGAATGACAGACTGTGTGGTATCACTTCTCTAAAAAAATAAAAATATGCTTCTCCCCACTTTGAAAAAAAAAAAGATTAAAAAAAATAAATAAAAATTTAAAAATAAAGATTTTATCAATTCTTTGACATTTGAAGCATTTTTCTCGCATGATAATTCAAGCAACTTACCAAATAAGCTAAATATAATTTATTTCCTAACGATTTGATTTTTAAAGAATTTAGCATTGAAGAACATTTATTTTATATATAGTATACAAGAACATGTGTGTTGGGCTTATTGTCTGAGATAACTGGACTGGTTTGAATTAAGTTTTATATTCTCTGCCATTTCAAAGTTTTGGGAAGTAAAGAATATCAAAAGAGATCTGATTATATTTTATATATTAAAAATGTGCTTAAAAGATTTTGCTTATAACTTGAAAAGGAAAATGGTTCATATTCAGTTCTTTCATTATTTTTCTATTATTCTAATGGGAATTTAGTGGGATTAATAAAAATATGTTTGAGTAGTGTAAATACAAAAATTTATTGATTTTTTTTTATAAGTGATATCTGAAAATATTTTACAATCTGATTTCATTAATATTTTAGATGTATATTTAATGTATGAGAAAGAAATCATAAGCCAGTTTAACAGATGTTATCAATTCATAAAAAATAAATTTCCAGTAGTACTTGATTTCTTTTGACATTGTTTAAAAATTAAACATCTATGGTCATCAGTAAAAATATGTACAGATGGTTTATTGTCAAATTCTACAAATCTGAAAGCAATTTTGCTGCCATATATTCATTAATAGTTAATGTTACTACTGTTGGAAAGCAAATATGTAATTTCTATATTCTCTGCAAATTTTAATTCTTAATTAAAATAATGAGGTATAGATTGAAAAGAATTTTCTCATAAAATAATCTGTATTTGGAGTAACAGCCATTTGGATTTAGATCCATATACATTTATATTATGAATGACTTTTTTGTTTTGTATCTCTCTTATAAAATAATTTATAAAATTTATCACCAAATGCATTTTGACAAATATAAGCTTTTACTATGGGTCTGTAGTATAGAGTGATGGTTAACAAGTTTGTTTCGCTATTCGTTTTCATTTTCAAATTTGATCCTTGTAAAGTGGTGCCAAGCTCTTTTGATCTTGTGCCTGATTAAGCTAAACTTGATAAATATCTAGGCAAAAAACTTTTAGCTTTCTTTCATTTCATTAACCTTTATCATTGTATGTGATTTTATTTACTGTACAAAAAGTTTATCCTGCCATTGAAGGTGACTGATCCCTGAACAATATTGTTTGAATTTCATAGTTGTGTTGTCATATCCTGCTATAGCAACAGAAAGCAACTTTGAGTGAAATTAACAATAAGTTTGCTGCAATTGAGAGACCTTGAAAAAGATCTCTTAATATTACTTCCCTTTCCAAAGGAAGTAATATTAATAATGCAGACTGCTGAAGGTTAAAAGAATGTTACCTTTATAATTAAGCCTCTATAATATACATGCATTGTGTGCATTTGAAATCTAGCATCAGATTTATTCAAGTCATGTTTTTGGAAAAAAATATACAATTGTAAATTTTTTTTACATGAAAAATAAGATAAATATGTTTAGTTGGGATGAATTTATGAAAATGAATTACTGTTTCTATAAATGAGGATGTGCTGAAAAGTTTTAAAAAAAAAACTTGCAATGTTGAGTCATTTTGGTTAGATTTTAAGAAGTAGGTCAGATTGAACATTTCAACATTGTTAAACATGACTTTTGTGCAAAGAAAATTTTATTTGTGTTGAAACTGACTTTTTTTTCTTTTTGTTGCATAAAATTATTTAATGATTCCTGATACAAGCAAATAATTATAAATAATTTCAAGCTATAAATCAATTTTAAATTGGTGGACATTACAAATCTTTAATGTTTTTGACAATTTTGGAGACATATTGGATGTATCTAGGCAGCAAATGTTTAAGCTTTATTAAAGGAAAGTTATTTATTTCTTTATATGTTGACAGATTAATCTATTTTGGTGTTGAAGATGCAAAAGAACTGTTTTCAGTTCTTGTTAAGGTTCTAAGTTTTTAAATGCTTTTGATCATTATCAAGAAAAAAGAAATTAAATGAAATACAAAGGCCATATGATATGCATTTTTATGATTTTGAGTTTTGAATGTTTGACATTATTCACTTACTCTACTGAATATTATATCTCTGAAAAAAATCCTCTTATATACAATGACAAGTCTTTCTCGTAGACACATGTCATAATTACTACCAGAATGCTATAGAACAACACAGAAATAAAAATTAAAATAATATATGACAGCTTGTGGACAATACAATAATTGTCAACAACAAAAAATTGTAAACAAAAGATTACTAATTTTAGAAGCTTTTCATAAAGTTAAAACAAACAGCACAATCACATGATTCTGGAATAAGCATTCTAAAATGGATTTAAATTCTCAGAATTCACACAAAATATGAAACAATGTTGACCTCAGTGTCCCCACACCTTATATAGAATTTCAATGTATCACAGCGCATAGCCATAATTCTTTAATTTGTTTATATTACACTGGGTTTCTTTCATTTTCCAGCAACATAGTCCAGTCTATTTTATGTTCCCCTTCTAATAATACCTTTGAGAAACCATAATACTTAATATCTTTTAAACATTTTTTTATATTCACTAATTAAATCTTTCAATACAGAATAGAGACTTTTTTGTGGTCATAAGTACAAATATCTGTAGTAGTTATAATTGTAGAGATTTGTATTTTTGAAAAAATCAGCTTAGTCTGAAATGATTATATTGAACTGATTTAAAGGATGAATTTACATGTGACATTTAAAAATGTAGCTAATTTATTAATTGTTTGTTTATAAAGTTGATATACATTTAATTAATCAATAGAGATGAACAGATTTAATTTCTAATGATGAATTGGCAATGTAAGTTGCAAACATTTTCCAACAATATTTTTGCTGTTATATTTGTTTTTACAAATATAAAGAAAAATAAAGTTCAAAGGAGTACTGAAAAGTTCTTTGCAACATACACTTACCAAAATGTAAGCAAATATCTAAACATTTTTCAGCACTTAAATGATAAAATTTAAAAG